CGTTATCGTTCAGGCGCGGCACCTACTACTTTTGGTCTTCAAGATGCTACGTTCCATGGCAAAGAAGATGTGGTGGCTGGCGCTTTTGTGGTGGCTCCAACTATGGTGGGACGCCACGAATTCACCAAAAAACCTCTTTGCTATTTGGACAAGTTCCAGCTGCTTTATGAACGCGTGGAGAGGAAGTGGGATCCTGCTGAGTTGGATGTGAACGGCCATACTTTGAAGGGTCTTGCTCGTGTGACAACGGAACAGGGATTTGTCAGTCCGGCGGCTTTGCGAAATCTAAAGGCGTGGGACGGGATCGTCTGCATGTTGATCTCGCCAATCCTTGATGGCATGCACCAGCTTATGCTGAAGCAAACTGGGCCCCAGTGGTCAAGTTTGTAAAATTGTACCAAGAGAAGGGCGTTCTTGGGCCCTCTGCTTGGTTCAAAGCACTGACACCAAGTGCAAAATGGGCTCCGTGAGACCCATTTTTTCCGGAAGGTGCACAACTTCTGGAAAAAGAATCTCTCACGGCGACATGCATTCCAATTCCATTGGATTGTCGTGTGAAGAGGATGTTTCGACAAAGGTTCCCATCAAAACGGACTCGGAATTTGACGAAAAGGAGGCAGAAGAAGGAGAGACGGAGGCGGCAAGTCCCTTGGCGGATGGACTGGTCATTGGTGGTAGACGGCGTTAGACCACCTTTGGATCGGCCACCCACAGCGTGGAATGACACTGTGGATTTTATGGATATTGCTGTCCATGTTCAAGCTAGTGGTTTTCTTGATGCTTGTACTATCCATACTTTGACTGTGGTGCACCGTCATCTTGCACCCCACTCTATGGTGTTGAATACTTGGATTGCATCTCCATGCAATCCCCTCAAGAAACGACTCTATGGTTTTGGCCGGGCTTCGAAAGACCGCGGTTTGAATCATGATGTGGTTAATCCACAGTCTATGATCCATTTTGCTTGGCCATATCTTTCCGCTAACAATCAACTTACGGCAATAAAGGCATCTCCTGTTTGGAAACAGTATGCAGAGTTGCGCCGTTTTGCATGTGGTACTTCTATCAGGGCATTGCAACTTTCGCATCTCTTGATGGCTGATGAAAAGGTTCCCACTACGTTGGATCCACATCGAGCATGGCTGAATTCAGCTGCGTTGCTACAATTTGATTTCAATCATGGTGATTTTGTTCGCTGGCTCGGTGGTGAATATACCAACAAAGGGCGTGACTTCAATATTAAATGGGATGTCATCGAATCCCATTTGAAGTCAAAGGTGCTCCCATCAGATCTTCCACCTACGAAATTGACATGGCGCATCGTATTCAAACTGAAGGTGTTCCTCTCCGTGAACAATATACTACGCCTATGGAGGCAACACTTCTACAAAACAAATACGATAACCACCCAGCGGTGGGTGCTAACTTGGCCGCGGTTGAGAAAAAAATTGCAAAGGAGAAGTGGAACTCCTACCACATCCACTACCTGCGATTTGTCTACGAATTTCTCCCGGGCTTGGTCATCAATCCGATTCAGTGGGTCTTTGATAAAGGAAAGGGTCGAATCTGTATTGATTGCTCCAATGGTCCTAATTTGTTAGGTTCCATCAATCTTTACATTCCATCTCTGAAAGATGCTATTCCCGGTGAGGAGGATGAATGCCCTGCAGTGTACTACCAATATGCGTTTGATCGCTTCTTGCGTCAAATCCTCAGGATGCGCATCACTCGCCCCAATGATCCCATTATGGTCTATGCTGATGATATAGAAGCTGCATTTCGATGAGTGCTCTATCATCCTGATATGGCGTCACTCCTAGATCAACCTTGTGGTAGGAAAGCAGATCTCAGTAATACCGCACACGGGATTTCTGAGATTGGTCGAACGAATCGAGTCTATTACTCGATCAGTTTGACCCGCTTCACACCACAACCCACCAGCTACACACCAAGACAAAAACACTACGAACACACACACGGAGGACGGCAGTAGGCTATCTTAGATAGTCACAAAAGTCAGGATTCAGAACCCCCTAAAAAAAGCGCATTGTGCACCAAACATATCGACTCATGCGACTGCTCTTTTGCATAAAATTTGCTACGTGGAACACTGGCGAAAGCAGACGGCTTTCTTTTTTGTGCACTTATTCGAACCCAAATTTTGGTGCGGTTCCGATTGTGACTATCTCAGATCACCATCGTCTTGCGGTCAACCCATACCGTCTGTTTGTCGAGCTTAAGGCAAGAGTATACTCTTGCTTAAGGGTCTCCCTTCACTCGTTCACGTGCGATAGACAGACGACTCAGAGCTGTAGCGCAGACAGGTCTGGTTACCTGAGATTGCGGATCACAAGACTGTCCAACTCTGATCTGCTTCAGGTACTGACTTAGTGTTGTTTGTTTGAAATGACAATACTTCATAGAATACAAATTTTAATTCAAAGAAATATTATGATGATTACATTTTGACTGAAGTGAAGGATGCACGAAAAAATCCAGTATTGAAACGGAACTGCAATACTGGGCAAGATTCGGCAGGGCTTAGGTAAGCTAAGGCAGTAAGATCAAGAGTATCCTGGTAAGACTGACCCTTTTCCGAATAGCATAGTGGACAAATTATCAGCAGCCGGTCGGCAGACAGACTAGATTTGACTCTCCCTCACATCCGAAACTTCAACAAATTGCGTCAGCACGGAATGCCTTCTCAATTCAAATTTTATACAAATAACGGGCTTCGCACAATGGATGACAGTGGAAGAAAACTGCGGAGCAGAAACAACCATCAAGTCATCGAAGCACAAGGGTCCAAGCGTTCTACCAACCTTGAACGCGGAAGCGGTTGGCTTCGTATGGTTCAGGTGATAGAGCCTTGGTGAGGTAGTCAGCATCTTGAAGTGATGTTTTGATTTCCTCCACGGCAACGGAGTCGCCAGCAATGCCATCTTTGGAGACGTATTGCCAGAAACAGTGGAACTTGTTGAGGTACCAACGGGTTCGGGAAGTGATGCGTTGATTGGTTGCAAGGAAGTAGCAGCCTTGATTGTCTTCAAAGGCTCGAGCTCGAATGGTGGCAACCATTGGATCGGAGACATTTACCTTTGAGGTAGCTTCGACGAGCATTCGCTTCAGTGGGATCAGAGTCTTCAAGGCATCAGAAAGAGCGGTGTATTCAGCTTCGAGTGTAGAGGATGCGATACTTGTCTGTAGAGAGGATCTCCAAGTAACGGGACAACCAGCCAGCTTGATGACGAATCCAGTGCGAGATCTGACAGAGGTTGGGTCAGCATCAGGTTCAACTTTGAAAAGTCCACAAAAATCAGCGTCAACAAACATATCCAAGGTAAGCTTTCTATCAATTTTGACAATGGTACCCTTGTCACGGGTGCGCTTCAGGTAACGTAGAATTGTCTTGACTGCAGTTGCGTGTGATTGCTTTGGATTGGAACTAAAGCGGGCCACTTGACTCACTGCAAAACTGATGTCCGGTCTTGTATTTGTCGATAGGTACAACAACATTCCAACAATGGATCGATAATTCCACTCTTCATTCATAGGTTCTCCCTCAGGATCGGATCCAAGAGGGCCAGTGGCTGGGGTGCGATTCGGCTTGCAATCGGTCATTCCAGCGGCAACAAGAATCTTGTCAATCAAACCAGTTTGGGTAAGTTCGATTGAACCATCATCTCGTTTGTCAAATTTGATTCCAAGAAACTCATTGAAATTTCCTTCCTTCTTCAGCTCAAATCCAAGGTCGCGTAGTTGGTCGATTAAGCGATCAACGTCTTGGGGATCAGCGGCACCAATTCCTGCATCATCAACGTACAGGACCACCATCATTCCAGGTTTGTAAAACAGACAAGGGTCAATTTTCGATTGCTTGAGTCCACACTTCTCTAGACCTTTCTTGCACGTCTCTGACCAGAAATGGGGGCTTGAAGAAAGTCCATATAATGATCTCTGAAGTCTTAGACAAGTGCCAGGACCTTGAGGTGATACGAATCCGCGTGGCAGATGGATCCACTTAGGAGTTGGAAGCTTGGATTGAACAAAGGCGTTGCTGAAGTCCACAGAAACAGTGGTCCATCCAAGTATCATGCAGAGAACAAGAAACATGCGAACAGTACTCCAGGCAACGGTAGGTGCAAAGGTGTCTTCGTCAGGAGGTCTGTTCTCGAGATCTCCTCTCACACAATATCTTGCCTTGTGCTTCTTAATTTCACCACTTGGGTTACGTTTGACTCGAGACACCCAGATTCCAGGAATGATCTTGGATTTGGCGTCCGACATTGGGACTTCTTTCCAGGTGAGTTTTCCTTCGAGCTCTTCAATTTCTTTCCTTGCAGCTTCACACCACTTATCCTTGTCATTCGACTTGATTGCCTCGTTGTATGACAGAGTGTCGGGATCCTTGACGGCTTGGACTTTGTACGCAGATGGATAAGAGAAAAGACTCTCTGGAGTCTCAATCCATTTGGTATTGAAAGTGTTGAAGAAGGCAGTGAAGTATCCGTTGTCGTTGTCGGCAGAAGCAAAGTGTCCTTGGGATTCAATGAGTCGATTGGGAGCTTTTCCGGCAGTGGAACGTTTGGAACGGCGAGGTGGTAGTGAAGCTGAAGGCTTAGGAGCAGGAGCAGGCTGTGGAGCTGGTTTCGTTTTTGGACGTGTAGGCTGTGGAGCTGGTTTTGGACGTGTAGGGGGCTGTGGCATCTCCTTTGGAGTCGCATTCATCTCCCTCTGAGGCGCAGACGGCTGGGAAGGCGGAGCCTCATTCACAGTCTCCCTCAGGAGTGAAGGTAGTGGAGTCTCCTTCTGGAGCGAAGATAGTGGCATCTCCCTCTGGAGCGAAGGTTGCTGATTTGACAATCCGACAGTTGGTGGCACGGTGGTAGGTGGGGCCTTGACGTCCAATGGTTCTGAAGGGCGATGATGTTCAATTTGGTCTCGGACGTGAGACACCAATGGCGGAAGGTCGGATGGAGCCTGGTCGACTGGAGGCTCATGAACATCATCATCATCCAAGATGTATTGGTAGATCGAGTCTCCAAAGAGCTTCATCCATTCATTAGAACCAAAATCCGGTAAGTCGTTGACACTCGTAGCAATTGTTGAGAACTCGTCATCGAACACAATGTGGAATTGGGATGTGATGGCGCCAGTTGCTGGATTCAAACACAATGGAACTGACGATGAGTGCTTCTTGCTCAATCCAACATAGATTTGCCAAGTTGAGCGGGGTTGCCACCGAGGCAGCTTTTGTCCATCCTGGATCTTCTTTTCAAGAACGTATACTGGGCATCCCCAAACATGAACATCGGCGAGTCGAGATTGAGGCCAGCGGGTGCGACTGATGAGATCATTCGGAGATAAACCTGTGGTTGGATTTGGAATGTGGTTGTACAAGAAGACAGCTTGATCCACGGCAAGGGGCCAACAGTTGGCAGCAGCCACATCAGGCCAATGGATGGCTTGATGCAACATCATCGTTCGCGCAATGGACATAATCGTTTGGATGGATCGTTTGGCGATTCCATTGTGATGATGAGCTCCGACTCCTGCAAACAAAGAAACCTGTTCAAACTGTCGTAAGTGCTCAGTGTATGCCGTTGATGTGAAAGCTCCACCATTGTCACTCTGGTACTCTGACACAATAACTCCAAACTCTCGACACTTGTTTTCAAAAGCTTCCTTGCCTTGCAAAGTTTCATGAGTGTTGAGATGAACCTGATGATGGACGTGGACGAAACCGGAGGCATGATCCACAAAGATGCATCCACCTGAGAATCGAAGTGAATCATCTTCCTTTCCAAAGGTATGTAGCAATCGTCCTTTTGTTGAACAAACAAAATGATCCACTGACACTTTCTGTCCTGGGAACAAGTTGTCTTTCTTCAGGGCTCCCTCACGATCGCGGACCACCCTTGAGGTCTTTCCAGGAGCTGGACGACGACGTTGCTTGCCAAATTGACATCCTGCACAGAGTGGCAATGTTGTCAGCTTGGAAGCTGCAGCTTGTAGACGTCGCGTCGACTCAGTATGCGCCAATACACCAGTTCAAAGAAGGAATTGAATTTGCTTGAAGTTGAGATGGCCAAGGCGATGATGCCATTTCATCAATTCGTGGGCAGCGGGGCTGAGATTGTGGTTGTTCGAAGTAGTGGTGGTCACAAAGTTGTTGAATTCGGCTTCAAAGTTTGTGGAGTTGGAGTTGGAGCCATGATCGTAGGCAAGAGAGGTAGGTAGGTTTGTTGCTGGGTCAATTGCAACTTCAATTGAGTTGGTAGCTTCATCTTGTCTCACATTGTCCCTTGACAGCAAATCCTTGGTTCCAATCATTGTCAATAGTGTGCTTGATTGCGAGATTTGTTCCAGTGGATAGGCTTGGAGCAGACTGGTGGTGCTGAGAAGTCGAACAGAAGCACTTGGTACGTAGTATGCTGGCACTTTCAGAGTTCTCAATCGTCCGGTCTTGTCAATGAATGACCATCTCACATACCCAACACCGGCAATATGCAGTCCTCTTGCAATCCCTTTGATTCGTAGTCCAATCGGAGCTGGTTGAATGGGTCCAATGAAATCCCTCTTGCATGGAGAAAGAGAATGACTCGCACCGGAGTCCCAGATCACCTTGTTCTTCCGCACTCTGTGAAGCTTCTGATATTCTTTGATGGCTTGCTTTGGATCTGTTGCAGCCTTGAAACGTTCCGTAATGTTGTTCAAGTGCGGCGGGACATTACCATTGGCAAAGAATGTAGCTGCAATCGGAGAGGTAAGCACCTTGAGCTGTGACATAGGAATTCCATTGCCAATTGTTGGCTTGTACACTGTGTTCCTTCGATTACAACATCTCATCCTTTGTCGTCTAATGTTGCAGGAACTGAAGGCTTCACTGTGAGGGCTCCAATCATTAGCAGATGCTCTTTTGTTTGGATTGTAGTAGGTCCAACGAGAATACTTGTTCCAGTGTCCAGAAGTTTCCCATGCACCATTGGGTCAATTGCGATACTTCTTGGGCTTGCAACAGGGACAGTGAGCTGAAGGGTGCGTCGAGTTTGGGTCGTCTCCATGGTGGCCACCACAATCTTGCCATGTCTCACTATTCGTCTTCTTCTTACGACTCTTGTTCTTCCAATCATTCCAATTATCTCCCTCATGAAGGGCACTCCAAATATCTCCCTCTCGTGGAACACGACGAAACGAAATAGCTTTGCCAAAGGCGTCAATGTACTGAGAGAGTTCAAAGACTTCTTGAGAGAAGCGATCATGTCGCTGAGACAATGGACGGCGTTTTCGAGTAGCAAGGCCATAGTGACGGGTGTGGCGATGGTTGCTGAAGGACTTGGTGCGACGTTTGCGACGGCAGGACCGAATGAATTGCTTGTACTTCGGTTTTGTCATTCGGAAAGGCTTGAACTCCTGTGGCGACTGGTATCCGAGGAGCTGGTGCTGAAGGTGATGGGGTAAGGTCCCGAATACCAACAGACTAGCCCACAGCAGCGGAGCAAACATGTTCAACCAAGACGCACTGAAAGCTGTGTAGCCAGGTGAGCTGACCATCCGAAAGACAACATTGGCGGGATCTGAGCGAGAAGAGGCTTCAAAACCGACCACTGGGCTCCAAGTTTGAAACTCAAGAAGGACACAATAATCAACAAGGAATGTTCCGAAGGGCGCGGCGCATCAAGTATTGGAAGACATTCCAAAGAGTCAACGGCGATTCCATTGAAGGTACGTGCCAAGCATGCGGAAACATGAACAAGTTAGCTTGCGGCTCACCCATCAACTCCTTCTTTGGACCAGTATGCCCATCCGTGCCGTGGGTAGTAGACCAACGATTGCAATGAGCACAACACTTCCAAGTCTTACCATTGACAACCTTCTGTTGGGGCTCACCAGGACCAGGTGCAATCTTCTTCCAGTTCGTGTCCTCCTTCCTGTTGCCCTTGGGCTTGTTGTTGTTGCCAGCATTCTTACCGCGATTGTTGCCCTTCTTTCCAGCTAAAGGACACACAGGATCGCGGGCCCAGTGACCAGAACCTCCACACTTGTTGCACTTGTCGGAAGGTTTGGCTCGGCTGCTCGAGGTAGCAAGTTGCTGTTGCACAAGCGCACTGATGTGAGTCTCCATCTGTTCCTTTGTCATACACACAGCGGCATTGCCAAAAGCTGCAGGAGGACGCTTGGAGTCTCTGACGGTGGAGAGAGCTGGGGTCCATTCACCTTTGTCCTTGAGCTTGCGGTAGTTGTCCTCGGCAAGATCAGAGACATCCTCATAGGTAAGACGCTCGGAGGCCATATGAACGTCTGCTGCAGTTCTATCCATGTATCCAATGTCCAACAGTGCTCGCTCAAGTTTCTGACTCTCGCTCAACAGGTTGTGACGGTACAAGTTGTGATCCTTTGGACCAGCCTTGAGATAACCGTCCAGCATGGACCCTGTGAGGATATGTTGGTATTGGCCAGCCTTGACCAATTCCTTGGCGTCAATCTTGTGATCTTCCGACATCAACGAAATGTCCTCTCCAGGGTAGTCCGATGGCTTGCGCTTTCTGATGCTCTCCTTGATAGCCTCAAAACGGTGAACTGATTGAGATCGGTTCAAGTACATCAAGGTAATGAAAACAACTGGGAATGAGTCTGTTGTCTTGATTCGCATTGTCAACTTCTCAAGCAAACTCGGTTCCAAACTATTCTCAAGAAAGAGCTTGGCTTCAGAGTCGTTGGCGGAGTCATACTTGTCGTACTTGAGGAGCTGAGCAGAAACTTGCTTCCTCACACTCTCAATCGTGAAGGAGGGATGCTCCTCGACAACATGCACAGGTATACCAGTTTGGCAATGAGGTACGTAGGCGATTGTGTCAAGTCCATTTGCCACAAGATGTTGAATGACGTCACGCTGAAACATTCGCAGGTTTCCTTTGAGGTTGAACTTGGTCTCGAGTCCTTTCACACGGTAGGCTCGATATTTGCCGTCATAGAGGATGGTACGGATCTGGCCTGCACAATAGGGCTCGAGTCAAGCTGGGTCTAGGGCGGACCAGTCGTCCTTTGGGGCACCTCCTCCGACAACAGCTACCTGCTTTCCATCATTGTCAATGAGCATCAGTTTGCCCATGGTTGGCTATTGAACTTGAAAAGGTGTTGGTGGATTGGATCCACCGGCTCCAGCTCCGCTTGGTGTTGCCATCTCGGAACTGCTAGGTTCTCCTATGCTTGGTTCAGTGAAGTTGGAACCTACTGAAAACTCTTCGGAGACGTCGTCTGGAAGATCGACTAGGGTGAGGGACTCGGGTGTAGATCCAGCAGAGGACTCTGCTGCAACTCTATCTCTATCCGGCATAGCAGGATCTATCTTTGCGCAACTTGCTTGGAAAGCGTATCTGGCTTGGAAAGCTCTTGGGACTGGCTTGGAAAGCTCTCGACACTCGGGGAGTTCTTGGTGCTAGAGATGCTAGGGAAGTACTTCAAAATCTGTTGACTCGGAGAGCTCGTTGGTTGGATTTAGCTTGGCGGACATCTCCACAGATGCTAGGGACCGTAACTGATTAAGTTATATATTGGGCTAAATAACCACTCAGAGCTGTAGCGTAGACAGGTCTGGTTACCTGAGATTGCGGATCCCAACTCTGATCTGCTTCAGGTACTGACTTAGTGTTGTTTGTTTGAAATGACAATACTTGATAGAATACAAATTGATTCAAAGAAATATTATGATGATTACATTTTGACTGAAGTGAAGGATGCACGAATAAATCCAGTATTGAAACGGAACTGCAATACTGGGCAAGATTCGGCAGGGCTTAGGTAAGCTAAGGCAGTAAGATCAAGAGTATCCTGGTAAGACTGACCCTTTTCCGAATAGCATAGTGGACAAATTATCAGCAGCCGGTCGGCAGACAGACTAGATTCGACTAGACGCAACGGACGATCCATTGACGATGATCAATGACTACCGGTACCGTACCGGTAGAGAGAGTCTGTCCTATACTCTTGGTCTGTCAGTCGCAATTGTCGGGATGGGTTGACCGCAAGACGATGGTGAGTGGAACAGAGCATTGTATTTCGATTCCATCTAAAGCATTTATCTTTTAAAAGCGTACCAGTACCAGGTACCGTATTGATACCACCAGTCTTTCAAAGGCCCAGAATATTAAAAAATGAAGCTGGCTTTGTGCGCCCTCTTGCTGCTTTCGAGAATACATGAGTCACTCTCTTGGCTTTCATCGCATGGACAATGTTTGACAAAGTCTTCACTTCGGAGTTCATACGATGAAATGGAAATCCAAGACTTTGACGACGGAGAAATATTTGAAGACGACGATGAGGTCTCCTACGAGGAATTGGAGGCACGCTTGGGAGACTGGGACGAACGAGTTGCCCGTCTCAACACCGTGCACCTTGTTGGTCGAGTTGGGAATTCTCCAGAGCCTCGATATTTTGATGACGGAAAGGTTGTGCTGAACTTGAGTTTGGCTTGCCGAAGGAAATATCACTATGCAGAAAGGGGGGCGATGGGGATCAAAAGTGGAGAAGAGGAGACGGATTGGTATGGTCTTGGTAAGGATCCTACTGAGACATCCGAGATCAAGTGAATCTTTGACGATCCATGGGTATCTAACTCTTTTTCGTTTGGGTTTCTTTTAGAACTGTGGGGCCAAACTGCCGAGTACGCGAGTAAATATGTCAACAAGGGGTGCAGGGTTGGAGCCATCGGAACATTGCAGATTGATGAATGGAACGACAGGGAGACGGGAGAAAAGAGAAACAAAGCAAAAGTCGTAGTCCGCGAATTCGACATACTCGAGACTAGAGCAGAAGCTGACTTGAGAAGGCAAAATTCCCGAGGCCCATCCTTCTACACTGGGGACGACGATGAGTATCATCCCTCAAAAGGGAGCTCTGGCGGCTTCTTCGACTAAAACACTGCGAGACACGATTCTCAAAACCAAGTCCACCAGGTACTTCTTTCGTACAACGCCAAACCGAATGAAGAATCCATTAGATTGTACTGCTTCGCTGCAACACCAAAAATCACCTATCCATTGCCACTACGCGACCCTAGTCCAAATAATCCTTTTTCCAAGTGTATCTATCTCTCATATACTATACATAGTATAATACATACTTCGTCATTGCATTGTCCCGGCCACAATATCTGCATGTTCTGACGTCGCTACTTGCGCACCGCGCGAAAAGTATTTCCAAATGATCTTTATTTTCATTTACTTCGTCATGTCCCATCTCTGCCAGCAAAGTGTCTCCTATTATTTCGTTTGAAGTCTTGGTGCAGGTATTATATAAAAATATATTATAAGAACCAGTTCGGGGGCTCTCGTGATTTCGATCACTATAGGGAAGTAGAAATCAGACTTCAAAGGGAAGCCAGGTGATGCTACAACAAGGAATCGTGATATCTTGAGGAAGGCTCGCAGAAACCTATTTCATTCACTACTTTGGCGCCAAGATGTCTCGTGCTAATTCTAAGCAAAATACCAGCGCCAGTGTGGAAGAGGCAAAGGACAGCCAAACGAAACAGCGCTATACGAATCTGCATCCGCAAGGCAATCAACATGCGTCCTCGCAACCATCAAGTCGAATCGCCAATGGTTTGAACGGCAATATTGTTGAAGCGAATAGTGATATGTCCTCGATGGCTCACCCAGCCCCTCTTTTTGAGCGTCTTGTGTCCGAAGAAGCACAACAACAGAAAACATACTCCCGTTTGGTTGAAAACTTGCATCGCAAAATCGCGTCACTTGAACTCGCGCAAAAAGATTCCGAAGATCGACTAAAGGCTGAATCGAAAAGTAAATTTCAACTGGAAAAGAAACTAGAGGAGAGAGAAAACCACTGGTCTCTAAAATTTAAGAAACTTGGGGAAGAAAGAGATGAACTAAAGAAGTCAGTGGAAGCTGAACAAGCGACCAATACCAAACTTCGAGATCAAGTCAAGAGAAAGGACAAAGATATTCACAGAATGTTGCAGAGAAAGGTAAGGGTGTTGAAATCGTTAGGAAAAACGGAAGGCTAGCATAGCTGCATGCTGACTGAATTGCTTTCCATGTTTGCAGTATGACAAGAAAGAATCTCCAATGGCTCACACGATGAAAGGCGGGAGGCCTGCTGCCAACTCACCATCCACTTCCGACGTAACGCAACGAACCGGGCAAAATTTCAAGAGCCCCCGCGAAATACTTGCAGCGAGTGGATCCATAGAAACCGTACGCACGAGAGATGCTGAAAACCTTCTTATGGATTTTTTCGCAATGTAGTGTTTGGGATCACTGCAACCTGTCACCCACGAGGTACGCAGCCCAAGAAGATTGATATCAAATATCACCCAACATCATACCAGAATTGGTTGTTCCAGACTGGATTGTTAGTTATCATGCTAATTTCCTGGATAAATTTGAAGCACGATATTTAGATGACTGTTCTCAAAGATCATGGGGTGTACCCAAGCCGAGGATGTGGATCTACTATGATGCGCGACTTACTCGTGAGAAGAAGTCGTCAACAACAGCTTCGCCGCGCCGATATTATTTGTTGAGCGTCCAACAAGGTGCGCTCCAACTATTCTATCTCCTCAGCTGTAGCTAGGCAGACAAACAGCATAAAAGTGATAGCGTGCTACAGTTAGAAATTGATAATCTACCCCGGCTGTGATGTGTTCGTAGTATTGGCGACAGGCTGTGCCATCCATTGTGGGATTCCCTGTGGTGCCTGCGTAGCAGATGGCCCGTTGCTCGTGGTCAATTGAGACCCCTGGCCGTTGTCACTCGGCAGTTGTGGAACAGATATGAATGACTGAAAATGCTGTGGTTGTTGCTGGTCTGCAAATTGTTGAACCATGCCTTGTTGCAACTGTTGTGGTTGCGGGGTGGCTGTATTGTGCTGCATTTGTTGCATGGCATTGTTATCCATTAGAGCGTTCATCGTCTGCGCAACAGGGGGTGGGGCTGCCATTGGCTGTGCGACTGGTGGTAGTCCTGCCATATGTGGCAATCCCGGTGGAATCTGAGGTGCCATCGCCTGTGCGTTCACAACAGTGGCATCTGATGTAGCTGATTTTGATGTTGACACTCGTGGCACAATATCTATGAGGAAATCATAAACCTCGCTTTCACCTACAGCAGCGTGCAAGTCCTGCCGTTGGAGCGTCCTCCGTCTATTCCGTTCCGTATGTCGCCAAGCTCGAAACGAAATATCTCTGATTAGAAGCTCGCATGCTTTGCTCATCAACACCGGAGCTTCTCCAGAGATCATGAATTTCACCCCACTCTTTTCAGACTCGACAGGTTGACCCTCTTCTGCTGCTTTCTGCTGCTTTTCTTTTTCGAGCTCTTGAAGAATGAACTCTTCACTCTTCATAATTTTCTTGATCCTTGCAAGTGGTAGCGTTTGTATTTTCCAGTTTTCGGTAGCTGGATATCAATGATTGAATACATGAGAAATAAAATAATGGAAACATTGCAAAAATCACGGTAGTAACACCTTCACATAATCATTGTGGATAATCATTGTGGTGCACATTAGACTTACCGGGGTTGATTCGAGATATGTTTTGAACGGACTCCGTCCACATCTCCTCCAATCCTTCGTCCATTTCCTGGCCGGATAAGAGTGTTGGATTCATCTTTCTTTACTATGTTAAAGGAATCAAGAACTTCGTGAAAAATTCAACCGATAGCCCGATGATTGATGTGAGAAGAGCATTGGCAAGCTTTTGGTGTTTCGCACGCTGCACATACGTATGTTTGTGACGTCAAAAATTGGTATCAACAATTTGGCTACAGTACCTGGTAGTCCAGCTAATCCTAACCCTAATCCAAACTGCCCGCCCGCTCGTTGTCTTTAAAACTACAGTAGTATACCGGTATGTACCGTTCTGTAAAGATATGATGCTGGGTTGATGGCAAGACGGCAACCCTAACACTACAGTATTTAATCTGGCATTCTGGACACTACCTCTCGGATTGCTTCAATATCATAAGGATCTTCATCATATTGATCAAAGCAGGCTCTACAGATGACAAAACCTCTCCCATTACAACTAGTGCAGTCCACTGATATCCCACCCATAGCCTCATAAGCTCCTACGCCATCACAGTTCGGACACAAAACACATCTTGTGTCGTTGCAAGCTGGACATCGCTCTACCTTTTTTCTCACTTCTTCATCAGTCAATCGATTCCAGAACCATCTTGCCAGATTTCCATTCGCTGGACCACCTAAGAAATAGACAGCACACGCCCACAATGGCAAGTATCCAGTCTCACCGGTGTCATTGTAGTGATAACCAGAATCCCAACCCTGTGATGACAGCCATAGCAATCCAACTTCAATTGCTGGACCGCCTATTGCTGTTGCACTACTTGTTAGGAAACCTGCTATTGTACCATCCAACGCCCAAAATCCTCCAATGGCAAGCAATGACATTAGGGTCAGAATGTAGTCCCGGCTAACCTCGCTATAGAACAGAATCCCGCTTAACCAGTATTGAAATGAAAACAAAGAGATTCCAATCAGTGTATCGTTGAGTAATGGGCGAGTCTTCTGCTCGAGAAGAATGTTATCAAGAAGGATGTAGAGCCACCCAATCAAGAAAGCTGCAATAAGAGCAAAAAGCTGTCGTCAGCGCCAAAGAAGCGATTCCCAATGCTACCAATAGATGATTACCTGCCAGGGCGAAGAGCTCTGGTACCCACCAAGCGGTTGTTAATGCCGCAAACTCCTCTGATGATCCCCAGAGCACCTTTTTGATCGGATGGTTGTATTCGAGAACACCGAACGCTGAGTGATACCTTGAACCGACACAGGTTGATAAGTTTAGGAAACCAAGTAGCTTCAAAGGACGAAGACGTTCGTTGACGTTTGCAAAATGACTCACGCGTCAAGGAATGGGCCCAGCATTGCGCCGCAAGTGGCCATCAGGATTGAGAAACACCACGACCTCTTGGGATGTTCTAATATCGGTTCCAGCCATACAACTTTATCCTTTTCCGAGGAGTCATTGTCAGTTGGGACGACAGAAACAGCTGTTCGCGAACATGGTCTTGGTTTGTTCGCGTGAAAGTATAATGAGGAAGAAGATCGAGAATAAGAATTTTGATTAAGCAGATCTGAATGCTGAAGCTGAAATGCGGACACGAACAAAAAGTATCGTAATAGGCAAAACGATATCATCGGCAGACTTCTCATGGAGAATACTGGTAGTCAATATGAGGTAACTTGAAACTGAACTCAAATCCTTTTCATCCTTCCGACTTTAAAATTTTTCGAGTTTGAGAAGCCTACCGGTACAATAACTTTCAAGCCAGATAACCGCCGCGCGGATGAAGAACAGACGCATGTAGTCATGCATAGCAGAGGCATAGAGGTCATCTCCTTCATCAAAGCATGCATCGCATGTACATAGATAGAACTTTAGCTCTCCCTCTCTATCATACAGTATTGTACATGAATGCAGAGCCCATGCATAGAATGCGCTATTCTGAATTCACCTGAGCCGAAACATACTAGAGAGTACTAAGATTGAAAATTTACAGTCATACTATTTCGATAAATACAACGAATGGTTACTATGCACCTACTACTATCACGTCAGAATGCAATCGTGAATTTACTTGTTGGGGCATGTGTCATAGCTACAGCAATCGCAGCACGAGCACTGAAACAAGAGTTCGATATGTTAGAAGAATCATCCATCAATTTTGAATTGTGAAGACCGTAAGCTTCGTAACAACTTACAGAGACTTCCGAACAGTCAGCCCCCAATACAGTTAGTACTTCACTAGGAAACTGGGTGTTGGAGCAAACTTCGTCGGGCATAGATCCAGTGAGATCATTTCCTTCAACTTGAAAAAATTTCATTCTTCTCAAGTTACCCATCTCTGTTGGTACTGTTCCTGTGAGTTTGTTCCCAAACAACCAGAGATCCTCGATGTTTGTCATTCGCCCAAATTCGGTAGGAATATTGCTGACAGAAACGGAGAGAGAGAAAAAAAATCAGATGTGAGAGAGCTATCATTTCGAAGCGGAATGATACCAGTGGACGATACTCACCCGGTCAAGGCGTTATCGGTGAGCGACATTGATTCCATTGACTGAATGTCAGCAATGAATGGAAATAAGGGACCACCAAGTCCAGGGTTGTCATCCACCCAATGCTGTCGGATAGATGGCATTCCTTGCATATATCCCAGATCACCAGTGATCAAGGAATCTGCAGCATAAAAGAACTCAAGGTTCTGAAGACTTCCAAAAACGCTTGGGATAGAAGACCCAAGAGAGAGGCCACTTACAACCATGTAGTTCAGATTGTTTAGTCCAGCAAAATTCTCATCGGTGAGACCGCCATTGATCAAAGAGAATGAGCAATCAAACTCGAACAAATTCTCCGGCATCTTTGGCAGCGGTCCAGCAAGGGAAGTTTCCTGAAAATAGAGTGTTACTGAGTTTCGAAAGAAAGAGTGAGGTGCGATGGAAGAAGGGGTGGGCACGGGAACGGAAAACCGAGCACACAGGATAGAAGAGTACAAACGTACACAAATCAGAACCCAAGTCTGCAATCCATGAGTTATCTTCGCTATACAGGAACTCGTTTTTCAAAAGTACAAGTGCTCTTAGGGACCCTGCACCAGATGGGTTTTCTGACGACAGCAAAGAAACTTCAGGTGGAAAAATTCCTGTCAAAACGTTGGAAGACAGATCAATACCGATAATCTGTTCGTTACTGCATGCAATTCCATACCACGATCCAGTGCATGGATCAACATCATTCTCATTCCAGTTGTTATCAAAGAGCCAATTGGGGATAGCAATGTTGTCAAATCTAGAATCGTCGTTTGTGATATTGTTTGCAACTCCATTAGTTGCAGTATAGATACAGTATAGGGAATAGTATTGGACCAGTTTTGCATCTGTCATACTTTCTGCACCTATTTGCTCCTCTGTCCTCAGCAAGGCTTGAGATTGGTAGGATCCAGGATCTTCCCAAGCAGCAATATTAATCGCATAAGGTGTAAGCTTTATCTGTACAGTTGGTTGCACTGGTACCGTGGGAGATGGGGTGGGTTGCGGAGTGGGTTGTGGAGTGGGTTGCGGGCTTGGAAGAGGAGTCGGTGGTGGCGTCGGTGGTGGTGTTGGTGCTGGGGTAGGCAATGGTGTTGGACCAGGTGTCGGCTGTGGCGTTGGCACCGGTGTTGGTCCCGGAGTTGGATTCGGTGTTGGTGGTGGTGTTGGATTTGGTGTAGGAACTGGAATTACACCCGTTGGAAAAGGCGAAGGTGGTGGTGTAGGCAAAGGCGTTGGAAATAGAGTTGGGCTTCTTGTCGGTGACGAAGTGGTCGGAAACGGATTTGGGGCTCGAGTTGGAGAGGCTGTAATAGGCCCCCCTCCTGTCGGAAATTGAGTAGGACTACGAGTTGGATTTGGTGTTGGGCGTTTTGTGGGTACTCGTGTATCCGGCTCTCGTGTTGGTGGGTTCGTTGGACTTCGAGTTGGTGTTTCAGTTGCAATCAATGCTGGTGTCGTTGGAGACGCCGTTGGGGCTAAGTAAGGGGAACGTAAAAAGAGCATGCATTATTTGACCATAAGGTATACAATTTTCTGCTTTCTCGAGGAAACTTACAAATGCTGTTGATTTCTTCCATCGCATATCGAGTCCATGATTTGTCATCTTCTTCAAATACGCTTTCACTCGACTCTACAAATCCACCATGACGAGGTCGAACGCCTTTGGCCTTCGCCCCATATACAAATAGAAGAAGGGTTAGAGCAGCTTTCGCTGACAACAAACTCATCTTTTCTTTTGCTTCCGATTGTACTTGTTGCAGTCGAAGGGGTTGGAGGTGGATGGGGTGGTTGGAAATTTGTGAGCGATACCATCGTGCAGATCAACCATAAATGCAATCAGATCGGCGAGCGCAAGAGAGCGCAGGCGCAAAGCCTTTTACTTAGCACAAACATCAACTAGTCGAATTAGTCGACAAGAAAGCCGGCCAATGATTTTATATTCCTCGAGTATTGATATGTTCAATGTACTGGCATTCTGGCGAGCTGAGAAATGATCGAACGTTTGGAAAACAACAAGTATTACACATTCAAACAGAGGTGCAATCGAAAACCCAAGTGGGAGCTGTGTGAGATAGTAGCATTGTTTGTGTCATCATTGAATGGAGTAGAAATGAAGCAATCTTTAGCTTCGAACCAACAAAAACGATGGTCTAGGGACAAACTTCTCGTTGTCTGCTCCCTGTTGCTCATGACATCGTCCTCAGTTCAGGCTTGGGGCAACAGCCATCAAAACAGCGAAGAAATAGTGTATGGTAATCGCTTTGATAACGACTGGCTAAACAGTGGCTCTACTCTATCCTTCCAAGTTGAAGGCTGTGCTTGGGGATACACCTATGACAGTGAAGAGGCGGGCTGTTTGGAAGATGAGTCTGAGGAAGGAACAACGAATTGGTACATGATGGCCAATTGTCGAAGACCTCAGGTGGCATTTTCTGTCTTTAAGGGCAACAGTTGCAGCTCTGGAAATTTCGTAGGATCGGTAGGTTTTCTAGTCATTTCCGACATATTGAAATCACTTTCGCGTCTTGACTCATTTGCTTTTGTTGCACACAGTATGTCACCAAGTTTGGAGTTTCAGAATTCGTTTACTACTTGCAACAATTTGATGCGAACTACGCCAACGACGATAATGGTGACGGCGACCTTCCGAACTGTGAAGGTGGCGACAATGGTTACCTTGGACTGGACTGTGATGGGAACGGTGGATTCGCCATAAAGTATTTCAATGATCAATACTGTGTCTCACGCACAGGCAACACTTACGACGAGTTGAATGGGCTCAACAACGTCATCAGCAACTACAAGAGTTGTCACCAAGTTTATGACAACGGGGATGGTGACGGGGGTGTGATGCAAAAGTTGGTGTACTACTCGGAGCCATGCATGTCCAATGACTATCCCTACTGTTCCGACAGCTATGAGTATTCACAGCGATCCTCCAGAAGTGGATTTGCAAGCGTCAAGACGAACAAGTGGTCGAGCAGAGCCGCATTTGGTGCTCACAAGTCTTGGGTGACAAAACTCAAATATGTTATTGGCGGATTATTCCTTCTTGCATCCTTCATCATGTTCACTGGTATCCTTTTCACCAACAGGCGCAGACGCCGTGCCATGATGATGCGAAAGTACCGTCAAGCAAAGAGAGAAAAGAGAGCAAAGAAATCTGGAAAGTCTCGCTCTAGCTCTCGTCGACGATCGAAAAGTAGAAACAAAGACAGAGACGATGGAGGTGTTCTTACCTAAGTTCCAGAAACATCTGGCTATAGTCGAAGTACGCTGCACTTAGCATGCAGATATATATATATATAAACGGTTTACAAATATTGTACCGGTATACCTACTGTGATAGCTGCAAGCTGCATTTTTCAGAACGCGTACCACTACCAGGTTACCGCCCATGCCGGTAGAAAATCATCAGGCAGCTCTCATTTTCTGACGTAAGAAGAACAGACCATGTCGTTTCTGTGGTCTAAACAAGAGAGACTCGTCTCTCGAACTACTGTAACTCACTGCGTCAAGAGCTTGTTCAAGCAACACTACCATTGCACTAAGCTCAGGATAGAATCATGCCTCCCAAGAAGAAAGGTGACAAATCAGGTAGTGGTGGTGACGAAGACCACTTGACACGCATTGCTATCGTGAAGACAGATAAATGCAAGCCCAAGAAGTGCAAACAAGAATGCAAGAAGTCTTGCCCAGTCGTGAGGCTTGGAAAGCTTTGCATTGAAGTAGGGCCAAAAAGTAAGCTGGCCTTCATTGCAGAACCTCTTTGCATTGGTAAGTTCCCTTGTTGATGTTTGTGATGTTGAGCTTTACCAGCCTGACAAATTTGCGTGAAAGGGTGTGGTATTTGTGTGAAGAAGTGCCCTTTCGAAGCAATCAATATCATCAACCTTCCAAAGGATCTAGAGAGGAATACGACGCATCGATACGGTCCAAACTCTTTCAAGCTTCACCGTTTACCAATGCCCAGGCCTGGGCAAGTTCTTGGGCTGGTCGGGACAAACGGTATTGGAAAATCCACTGCGTTGAAGATCCTTGCTGGAAAAATGAAACCAAACTTGGGTCGTTTTGATAGTCCTCCTGACTGGGAGGAGATTTTGGTTCACTTTCGAGGCAGTGACCTTCAGAATTATTTCACCAGAATCCTTGAAGACACAATGAAAGCAACGATCAAACCACAGTACGTTGATCACATTCCTCGCGCCATCAAGGGTCAGGTAGAGCAAGTGCTGAGAGCAAAGGATGACCGCAGTGAAGCTGAAGGAAGAGATATTTTCGACTGGGCTACGACTCAAGCAGAATTGAAGCATTTGTTGAAGCGTGATATTCGAGTTCTATCTGGAGGTGAATTGCAAAGGTTTGCCATAGCGGCTGTAGCTGTACAAGTTAGTGATGTGTACATGTTCGATGAACCCTCTTCATACCTCGATGTCAAGCAACGTCTTACAGCTGCGAACATGATTCGAGAGATTTTGGAGAGTAAAGATGGTGATAGGCGTTATGTCTTGGTGGTTGAGCACGATTTGGCCGTTCTCGACTATTTAAGTGATTATGTTTGTGTTCTGTATGGTGCACCTGGTGCCTACGGTGTTGTCACCATGCCTTTCAGTGTTAGGCAAGGTATTAATGCCTTTTTGGCAGGATTCATCCCTACTGAAAATCTTCGCTTCCGTGATGATGCTCTGTCGTTCAAGGTAAGTGATCGGGGCATGGAACAATGACATGAGATGCTGATCAGCGCCCAACTAAAATCTGTTTCCTCTTCTATATGGTAGGTGTCTGAACGTGCAGAAGCTGGAGATGTGAAGGACGATGTGATGAAACAATATTACTATCCGGACATGACCAAGACACAAAGAAGAGAAAAATCCCAGTTTATCATGCATGTTGATGCGGGTTCGTTCACAGATTCTGAAATCATTGTCCTTCTTGGAGAAAATGGAACTGGGAAAACAACTTTCGTTAGAATGTTGGCGGGTTTGTTAAAAAGTGACGAGCAGGTCAAGCTCGAGAAAGAGGGAATGGATTATGAAGCCGCACAAGCTGGAGTTCCTGATCTCAATGTGAGCTACAAGCCTCAGAAGATCGCCCCAAAATTCGAGGGAACAGTGCGACAACTTCTGCACAAGCGATGCCGTGACGCATATGTGCATCCTCAATTTATTTCTGATGTGATGAAGCCTCTCATGATTGAGAATATCATTGACAACGGTGTCCAATCCCTCTCTGGAGGTGAATTGCAAAGACTGGCAGTCACTCTTGCTCTAGGAAAGCCTGCCGATGTCTATCTGATCGACGAACCAAGCGCTTATCTTGACTCTGAGCAGCGCATAAACTGCGCCAAGGTTATTAAGCGTTTCATTATGCACAGCAAGAAAACAGCATTTGTTGTTGAACATGACTTCATTATGGCTACATATCTTGCTGATCGAGTTGTCGTCTATCACGGAAGGCCTGGAATTGAAGCAACTGCATCTGCCCCTCAATCGTTGTTGACAGGTATGAATCAATTCCTCAAGAGTCTTCAAGTTACTTTCCGCCGTGACCCTGTGAACTTCCGACCAAGGTAAGCTTTTGTCAATGAATTGCAGTTGAAATATTATGGGATGACGAAGAAACCATCCTTACGCCTCATCCAAATTGCCCTCGAGGTACTGGGCGCTGTCTTAGCGTTGGCTGTGGAGGCAAGAAATGCTTTGTTTTAATTTCCGACCTGTTCTTTAGTTCTTTACAGCGCTATTCTACCATGTCGAAACCATCTCTAATGCGTTCTCTTTTCGCCTTCGGACAGGATCAACAAGAGGGGCTCCCAGAAGGATATGGAACAGAAGAAAAATGGAAACTACTTCTTTTACGAGGAGGAAGACACTAATGATGGAGATGATTTTGATGATATTTAACCTGTTGACTGCGGCCTGCTGTGACTCTGATTCGGCTAGTCTTTTCAGCCACTTGTTGAAATGATCGACACTCGATTTGCTTTCATAGAATAAATCTGTCTAACATACATGTCATCCGCCAACTGCGACTGATTCTATAATTTTTGCTAGCAAGACGCCAAATGAAGTGTCAGTCTCTCTGTAAGCAAACTATGAATATGGAAAAAATATCCGTGGTACGATTCAGATGAATGAATGGTTGAGTTTCTTTGCTTTCTAAATCTGTTTACAGGATGGATCCAGCGTTGGAAGCGATACGGGGCCAAAGCTCTGCACACTCCTTGGCGACTGGTCCGGCTACAGCAGAACCCTTCATTTCTCCCTTGTTGTTGACAATAACACCGGCACTGTCCTCGAAGTGGATGAAAACACCTTCCTTTCTGCGAAAAGATTTGCGTTGTCTGACAATGATACCAGGCATGACCTTCTTACGAAGTTCGGGCTTTCCCTTCTTTACTGAGCACATGACCATGTCACCAGATCCGGCCTTTGGAAGACGATTCAAACGGCCGCCGATATTGCAAACGGCAATAATTCTAAGGTTCTTCGCGCCAGAGTTGTCAGCACAGTTCACAACAGCAGCGACAGGGAGACCAGCAGAAACCCTGTGCTTGATACCAGAAGCGGCAGCACGCCCTCTTGCAACCTTTTCACTCATTTTACTTTACTTTAACGGGAGAAACAACAAATTTAGAAAAAAGCTGATCTACAGACCTCCAACCAACGAAAAATATGAGTTATGATTCCGCAGAGACCGATGAACAAATGTTTACAGCCATACAACAACTTCATACACCTGGCCCATACATTTTCAAAAATCAACAACTGAGTTCAACTTCAACAACATGAACACACACACCTTGCTTGATGGAGTATTATGTTTCGAAAAGAAACTATTTCCTAGTAAATGGTAAAATGGTTAACGGATGCATGGTCTGACGGGATCTTTTTTTTAATTTGTGGAGAGTCTTGGATTCTCAATTCCTACAGTATTTTAAAATAATCTAAAAGCAATAGTAAAGGAAGCAATGGAACCCCACCAACGATGACCACATGGCAAAAGTTGAAAGTTTACCTCCAACAAGAGTTAACATCCGTAGCCATATACCAGAGCCCCATCCCATTTTTAAAAAACTATTATACAATGAAGGCCTTTTCAGACCCCTGAAAAAACCATGGATATAATGAGACTAGTGGAGTGACTATGATCGTGAATCGTCGCTTTCAGCACGAGGAGTGGAACAATCATCGACACAGTACAGGCGCAATTGGTTGAGGCTACTCGAATCGTCTTACTTAACTTTCAAGGTAATTTTGTTCTTTCCTACTTCTTCAGCTTTCAGTATTTTTTCGATAATGCAAATTTGTTACACAAATGCTTTCCCTGCTTGTGCTTTGCCGAATAACCATTTAATGCCCACGATCCAACAAACTACAGTACAGTACGATGCTAAAAACTTGGACTAGTGGCAAAATTAGCGAATTTAGAATTCATCGCCCATTCCACCCATGTCAAAGTCGCCCATGTCGCCCATGTCACCCATGTAGTCATCATCGCCGGCGTCTTCTGGTTCTTGCGACGCCATGTGCTCGTCATACATGGTCTTTTCGCCATCCTTCTTCTTGAAGAATGTTTCTTGCGCAAATGCTTCGGCTTCTTCAACACTGTCGGTGACAATAATGTCGTCAAAAAGAGTTCCTGTCTTCACTTGCCAGAGCTCGAAACCAACATGTGTGCATCCCTTGCTACAGACCTTGTACATGTCATCATCATATTTGTATTCTGGGTTAGGGATCATTGGGTGTTCCCATGGTCCCTTGTAATCAGGGTTGTCAATCATTTTGGGCTTCCACTCTCCCTTGTAGTCTGGATTATCCATCATAGGAGGCTCCCACTCTCCATCGTCTTCATCATCCCAATCGTCTGGCTTTTCGGCATCAGGGTCAGGAATTTCGGCTGGAATGTCGTCCCATCCATCAGGCTTCTTGTCCTCAGGGTCGGCCATCTTGGCTTCATCAACCCAGTCGGCGGGCTTTGATGCATCAGGATCCTTGATTTCTTTTTCAGCTAGGAAGTCGAATTCTTCGTCGAGAGATCCCTTGCGAACCGATTTGTTGTCAATTAGGACTTGGAAAGTGTTGTCTGGGTTGACAATCAGAGTGTACAAATGTGTGACATCATCAGTCTCTGTGGAAACCTCTCGATTGATTAAGAGATTGTCGGACTTCTTGTCGTAATGAAGAATAACATGCGTTCGCTTGTTAGAAGAACCACAAATATCGGGTCCAAACATGACAGCGTATTCGGTTTCACCGCCAAACTTGGCAGTGTCAAAATCATCACCTCCAGGTAGCAACTTAATGTAGGCACCACCACAATCCAACTGTTGCTCGTGCTTTACAGAGTATTGGATGACCAAAGGCTTTTCGCCACTGGTGAATGTGCTGTCCATCTTTGCAGAGATCCCATAGAAACGAGCATCCTCCGAAGTTTGAATACCTTTGTCACTTTCGTCAGCGTACCATTGACCTGCAGTGTGCTTCCAGGTCCCCATTTCACTTTTGGGCTTCCACTTGGTTGATTCAGTCCATCGGGTTGTCCATGCCTATCGAAATAATGTTGAATGGAGTGTTAGGGTTGATGAAAGAAATTATTTTGATTCCCAACAACAAAAATTTTTTCATTTTTGACGGCCGTAGAAGCTAGTACATTTTTGAACGCAAATTTCGCATTGGATGCGAGAAAATGACCATCATCACTCCATGACAAAGCTCAATGGGACACTCACATCATCATTGAATTGTTCCTTGAAGAAAACTTCGGCAACTGCAGGGACAGCACAAGTTGCGGCGAGCACGGCGGGAAATGCAAACTTCATCTTGAAAAGTTCTATGACTAGACTGTTACTTCTCACTGCTAGTCTCTCGAAAAGATGTGAGGTTGGATGCCCTCTCAAAAGCGCGCGAGAAATAATTCGATCGAAACGTTGAGAAATGCCTGTCATTCGTCCATTGTATCTTCCACGTGGAACCAAAAAACCTCGATTGATTATTGATCTACTCCTTCCCTGGCGGATGCACAAAAGATCTACCCCGACGTGTGGCAGTTCTACCAAGCATTTCTTTGTCTCTGTTATCATTCAATCCGTATCGTCTCGCCACGTTTCCCAACCAACTTAGAGTCTCTACCGTGATTTCTGCAGCTGAGGTCACAAGAAGAAGTGGCCGCTGAAAAATGTTCGTTCCTTGTTCCTTGTCTTGGAATCCTCTCAGCGCTTGATCTTGTGCTCCCTCTAGACGAATTTTTCCGACCGACCCATCAGCGGTGCCGCGAGTCTTCCTATCGAATCGGCTGTCGGGCTCTTCACTCTTGTTTTCAAGCCAACCGTCAATGTACTCTGAGTTCTGAAGAGATATGTCAATCTCGCGCTCTGTGAACGCCTTTGTTTTAATGTTGATCGCTTTTCTGACCCCGGCTGCAACAGAGTTGTCAAGAACAAGAATCCTTCCTTTCAAATCAGAGGAAAGTCCGTCGTTAGTGTCCTCTTCAACCAGTGCGTCGATGTCAACGGCAGAAACTTTCGATGAAGCAAGCATTCGGAGGTCGGTTTCGACCTTTCTGTCGACAGTTACCGTCACATTGCCCACATCCGCTTGAACTACACTGACACTCTGAGGAGAGATGCTATCAAAATGTACCTGACATGAGGTCCATTTACTGCCGTTCTGCTTTGATGCATCGCCCCGAATGAAAACTTCGCAACTTCCGTTCACCCCACCCATGTAAACAGTTGGAAGTGTTTCTCCTGTAATATAGTTTTTGGCTGAGGATTGTATTCCCACTGCCTCTACCACTACGTGACCATGATTACTCTTCACACGAACAGCTTGCCTTTTTTCATGTGACGAGATAAGGTTGATTAATGCTTCCCCAGTCACATACAACGAGCTGATATCGCACACGGCACCAGTATCGTCATCGCCAAAAATCTCGGTTGTTAGTTGCTCTGATTCTTGGGCTCGATCTTCTCCAATTTGTGCTTCAAATGAGTTGGCGTGAATTTTCATTGCTCGTAGCCTCCCCGGATTTGGTAGGTTCACGGTAATGGATTCTGCCTCCAGCAAATCCGTCGCAGCAATTGAATTTCCTTGTCCAAAGGCTTGGATCTCGATGGTATGACCGCGAACTTTCTGAACGACAACATCACCATCAGCTGTAATGATCCGAACATCGCCTTCTATTTTATTCTGGATTTGAACGGACCCCCCATTGACCAAATCGCATTCCAGATTCACCTTTTCTGGAACGTCAACCTCGATCAAAGTTTCAGGCTCCTCCACATTTTCGTCTGCCTCTTTGACGTGAGTAATGTCGTCATTATATTCAATCCGTCTGAACCCTTCAGGAAGGTTTGACCAGTGTTCTGAATCTGGGAAGATAGATCCATCATCGAGAATCACCCGTTTTGTTTCTACTCGATCCCTTGCCCTAGGATGGGAGAGTGGTTGTTTCGACTCTTTTTCAATCTGGATGGCATCTTTTGGATCCAAGTTAATCATGACATGTGACTCCTTTCGTCCCATTGAAGTTAATGTATCTTCTCCTCTTGAAATTGTTACAACTGCTTCAGTATTCCCAGCTTTACTGAATCTTTGCATCATTGAAAAATGGCCATCATCTCTCCATTGGGAGCGAATTCTGATGTTGGTCCTATTAACCTTCGAGCGAAGTTGCAGAGTACTTCCCTGTTTCAGCGTTGGTAGTGGGTGAGTTACGAATTGTCGCAAAAGGTGCTTACTACTCATCGCACCGGAACTGGTATGTCAGGAATGGTGGAATGGCTGTTTGATCTCTATCCTTGGTTTGACAGATCATATACAATGTATGATGCAGGTGGATAGTTTTGGGTTAGTTGTGATATCGTGTTTCAATTCGACTAACTCGAAACAATCACTTCATCTCGACGTCTCGCTCACTGCCACTATCACATTATGTGCAACAATCATGTCCTTGCCAGATGATGCCTCCCACTCCAAAGAAGAAGAGCACGAGGTTTCAGAGCTGAATATCGATGCCGAAATGATCATGGAGTCGATTGTTCGCGTTTCATTTGCAGGCCTTGGGGGTAGTTTAGTGGGCCTCGGCCAGAAGCGAAGACTGGAGACAATGCGTGTGCTAACTGGGGCAGCTGCAACAGCAGCGGCTAGAAGGAGGCGCTCTCCTATGACATCACAGCTGAACATGCCTTGGACAATGGCACTTTCTTGCATGGCATTTTGTGGTGTTGTTGAGACTTGCCGGCTGACTTCACCGTCGTCCATCGTTTTACAATCGTTGGAAAGCCGCAAAATGGAACCTTTCGGGAAATCTGAGGCTTCACGGTCGGCAGCAATCACGATATCGGATTTTACGATTGGTGGAGCAGTTGCAGGTATTGCAGGAAGCTTTGGAAAAACATCCCAGAAGAGAATTCCCGTTGCAGCATTACGGGGCTCTGGGCGATTCTTTGGTTTCGGTCCTGGTCTCGCACTCGGGATGATTGCCGGGGCATTCCAAGCCGCGGCCGACTACAGCATCAACTATTTGGAGATGACAGCAGCACTAGAGAAGGAAACGTTGGCGAAGCCGCAGGTTTCAGAAGAGAATGTACACTAAACCTAAAGTACTAGATCTCAAGACCTATTCCTTCACCACCTCTACAAAGGTTCTCATGGTTAAGATATCCTCTTTTGAATACCCCTGGATCGGTTGCCATATTGTATGTGCTTTGGGTCTCGATGTTATTCAGATATTCCTGTGATCATTCCCGTCCCGAAACAAGCACCGTCTTTATAACAGAGCTTATTTGTTTGTCCAATGTATGAACAAAGAAGGAAAAAGTTCAAACCCCAAAGCTGTAGGTAGTCATCTGTAGGGAAATCATACGACTCGTGACGGATTGCCCCCGGACTCATATACCTGTATTGATGACACTCATGCCAAATTACAATACTTTTGCTTTCAAGTTGCTGGTCAGCAGAATATTGCTCCGCTTGAGGTCGCGATGGATGACCGCACGAGAGTGGAGGTACGCCATTCCAGTCGCAATGTCGCTGGCGTTGTTGCTGCGCTGTACCGTTGTGTTTAAATCCAAATCAAGAACGACCATTATAGTCTCCCATAAAAGTTGCATGTCAAGCCAAAGTATCGTCTCCTTGTAGTTCGCATATGTTTGGATGGTGAAGTTGTGCTCGAGACACAAAACGTCGCCGCAACTTAGGTATACCATGGAAGTCTTCAAAACATGCAGATCTTTGGATCCACAAGGCGAGTATATTGGTCGTTTTGACCTTTGATTCCATGTAGAAATGGATGTATTCCTACCAGGTCATGTGATCTTGTGGTGATTTGCGACGAGCTCACATAGCTGTATTTGCTGTAAGTTGGCCATCAAGCCAGTGTATCCATCATCCCTCATTATGGAACCTAAATCTGGATTTGCCCTTATCTTTACCGTCGGACGCTTTTGACCGCATAGGATTGGTCGGTCTCTTCCATTTAGTATGGACAAGCACCCAAAGTTCATGTTCCCTTACGATTCGGTGGGAGCTTTCGCAATACCAGGTACCAGTCGAGCTCAAGCTGACTCGATGAATTTCAGATTGTCTACTACTAGCTCTTCCAGGGTCATTGTTCTAAAACTTTGTATCTTGAATAGATTATCCATGCGGGCTCTTGCCTACCAATGCATCCCTTCTTAAGCAAAACCTGGAATTTCCTTCGTTATAGTGATCCGACCCTTTGTTTCTGGCCCAATGACATTGAGATGGCTTGAATGGATGGGTCCATTGTCATCGTTTTCGATACTGAGCCTGAAAAGCTGTCCAATTTCTCCAAGCATTGAGAACTGTCATCAATGTTTTGATGTTGGCTGCGCCGTTAGCCTGCATTCATTGTCTTTCATAAATATCGGACAAGTTTCAGAGATGCCGTTCAATGAAATTAAATCGGAAAAAGTGACAAAGTTGTAGCCTACAGTTGGTGTCAGCGACATTTTCCCACGTCATCGAATATTGCTGTACCGGTAAACCTTGATGCATGCTTCGCCTACTTTTGGTGCATCTTAGCGACAAAATCATTTTCTGACTAGTTAAGAATCTGACCATCCCGTGAAGCACACCAAGCCTTCTGGTGCTCTAGTACCCTCCCTAGCTTGACTGTTCCCACACAATCTAAAACTGTAACACCGACGCCTCTCAACTCCAATGCTAAGGAATCACCGCAACCGTTCATGAATACAATGGCTCCTTCTCCAAATAAGCTAACGTAACTGGACATTTTCGAAACGAGGCTGCCAATAGCTCCACGCCCCCCTTGTGATATCGTCGATGCACCATAGAACATCTTGCATTCCACCCAATTTATCTTCCGTTCTTCCAGTATAGTATCACCATTTCCTCTCACTTTTCGCAGCATTACTTGCCCCCGTAGTAGGAAATCTGGGGTTCCCCTTGGCCCTTCCATTCCGTACTCTTTGGCCCTCTCTCTTTGCTCTTTCTCGGTCCAATACTGCACTGCATTCTGGTCAAGAAATTCCTGAACGCACTCTTCAAATATGTTCGCTGACTTTAGTATATCCTCGTCCTCCCCGAGCCCCAAGCCAGACATTGTCATTGTTGGATTGAAGTTCTTGATGTGGAGTCTCCGTAGCGACAGAGCCTGTTTCAAAGTCATCCCATGAGCTGATTTCAATGCTTGCTTTATTTCCTTGAGTCGGAACAAGTAATTTCGCATCATTCCCCTCTCACGCTTGCCCCTTGGCAACATGACTTTCACCATTGCCTCTTCGCTTTGAACAGGAACAAAGTCAGATGGGCTGCTCCAACATAGAACCTGGAGGTCGTCGTCGTTCATATCAATATCGACGTGTTTTGCTTTGTTACTGTTTTGATTTTGATTTTGGCCTTGGTTCACCCTTTGCGCACATGACTTGTCGTCATGAATGTCGCCATTTTCTATGCCCCTGCTAGCATCGATGTTGTGATGGCTGTTGCATCCACCTTTTCTAGGCTTATTCTTCCTCCTCGGTCGCCTATATTTCTGGTTTTGACCAGGAGGTTTCATATGCGTACCCGTCACTATAGATTTAGGCTTTCGATCATGTTGGATGGGTTTCCTATCATCCTTTTCGATCGAATCTACAGCAGATTGAGGTGGATGTGAACCATTGCTGGATTCAGCTGTTGTCTGGTCTTGAGACCTCGCACGCTTCCGAGAACCACGCCTTCGCTGGCGATTCTTTCTGCTTTTGCTGGTTTCATTTGCATTCGAATCCGCTGGCATCGCAATCAAGTTGTCTTGGCACGGGTTGTTTTTAAGGTTCAGCTGTTGTGTTGTGACTATTTTATAATGTGCAAGAGAAAGAAATCCGTAATGGAGAATGGAGACCTGGAGCAGAAAATCTTCGCGCCAAAAGAGAACCAGCCAAGAGCAATGCTGCGAGTATTGCGCATCAAGACTACAGTATCGTACGATACAAATACCACATCGTTTTTTCGGCAACAAGACATACCGAAATAACATACATTCCCACATTTGGACAAAACAGAAATCTGATCCTGTGCGTGATCAATAAGACTGTACGCTACAGCAAAATGGAAGAGTCACACTTTGATGAGGATAAAATGATCAATGACTATGTCGAGGATTATGATGAACCTCCCCCAGATGACTATGATGCGATGATGCTTGAGGAGTTCGATGCCACATCTCCGGCCAGCAATTCTAGTCCAACAAACAGAGCTACTCAAGTAAATGAAACGCCAGATGATGCTTTGCGAGACCAAATGATAACAACTGGAATCGCTGACTACAGGCAATACGAACCCCAAGATGATGTTGAGAGCATCCAAGAGGCACAAAATCAACAGAGGAACGCAGATGCAGTTTTCAGTTTTGAAAGGTAAGTTTGGAATTTTCCGTTATACCTTTTCCATGCAAAATAATAAGTTGGTTCAAATTGTATTACGTTTATAGGTACAAGAAAGGCGAATGGAGGAGAGAATTACTGCAGTCGAAGAACAGTGCCAACCGAACTAGGAGTCCAACCTCGGTCATTCAGTCCGCTGTACAATTGAAAAAGATGGGCAAGGCGACAGCGTCGGATGCAGCTCTACTTGACATTCTGAACACGGTCGGGGCTTCGTCATCCCCAATGAAACTGTCACGATCGGGAAGTATTACTAGTGTTTTAATGAATCCCAAAGAAGGAGAGAGAGCCTATCCCATTACGATTGCAGATGGCACCAGAGTTTTCGTTCGAGAGAGAAATGGAGAAGAATCAAGAGCACAATATTCTCACAATCAGCAACGTTCTGTATTGACCTCCACGAGCTTTCTTGGGGTTTCAATTAACGAGCTTAAGAGACGAGCAGATATTATTCGTCTCAAGAAAGGATTCTCCCAAAACAGACTACGGAATCGTAATGGAGTTATCGGCGATGGAAGACTCTGGGTTGACAAGCACGCTCCTTCGGCATTTCCACACTTGCTATCCGACGAACGAACGAATCGAGAAGTATTGAGGGCTCTAAGAGCTTGGGATCCATATGTGTTTGGAAGAGATCCACCGTCGAGACCATCTAGCCACACACAGTATCAACGGGCGCATCAACAGGAAGAGAATAAAGAAAAGCTAAAGAACCCGAACGACAAACGTCCAGATGAGAGCAGTCGAGTAATTCTGCTCTCAGGTCCACCAGGTGTCGGTATGTTGTCTCTTCAAATTTCCGATACACCGAAGAATTGTACCTCATATTCCTTTGCTCAATGATGAAATCACACAGGGAAAACAACACTAGCGCACATTATCGCTCATCATGCAGGATATCGCCCACTGGAAGTAAATGCTTCTGATGAGCGGTCTTCGGGTGTTTTAACAGATCATGTTCGCCGTGCAATGGAATCGAAAACCATTGAGATCAATAGCGATCGTCAGGACTATGGCAAACCGAATTGCTTGATATTGGATGAAATCGATGGTGCTGATGCAAGAGGGGCAATTCAAGCACTTGTTGAGATCATTCGAGCTGAGATTCCGCCGAAGGGGTCCAAAGGAAGAAAGCCGCCACATCTTCGTCGCCCTATTATTTTCATTTGCAACAACAAGTACAGTCCTGTGCTGCGCCCTTTGTTACCATACTCAAGACAGTTCAACGTTGAGGCCCCATCAGCAAACCGTCTTGTTGGGCGTTTGAAAGCAGTATTAGGAAGGGAAAAGATATCTATGATGTCAGGAGCGCCACTACTTCATCAACTCGTGATGTCCAGCGGAGGTGATATCCGATCCTGTTTGTTTACTCTCCAATACGCTTCAACGCAAGCAGGAGACGGAGGCGACATTTCGAGCCCCCTGCAGTCTGCCCTCGGAGGCGCTGGTTTAAAGGACAATCGTGCAGATATGGTTACTACACTAAATGGTATTTTCCGCAAAGTGAAGACCAAGGCAGCTGGTCGATTGGTCGAAAATTCGGACAAATTCAGTGTGAGGAGAGTCTTAGATGCCGTCGAGGGACTTGGAGAAAATTCAAACACGATGAACGCATTGTTTATGAACATTCCCCGTGTGTCGTATATTGACCCTACTTTCGATCGATGTTCTACGGCTCATGAATTGATCTCAGCTGCAGATATCGGGAATGGGGCAGCGAGCTTTTCGCGTCATGATAATGTTGTTGCAGCTTCGATTCATCTCCTTTGCCGTGTTGAGTTGAAACCAGATCTAACGTACTCAGCTCGAGACTTTGTGGATGCGCATTATCAAAGAGAAACAAATGTTGGGATGGTCCAAAAGTTGATCGAGGGCTTGCCTGCCAAATCAGGTAGCATGAAGTGTCTCAGCTACATGGCGCAGGAGTTTATCCCATATGCTATGTGGATGCTGTCTGCAGGAAGGGACAAGTCATCATTAAGTCGTGCAGCTTCTTCGATCGATATGTTGACGAAGACAGAGCGTGTTTCCCTTGATTCGCATGTTGCTCTCCTACAATCCCTTGGGTTGACCTATTCCTGTGATAATGAAGAACCGGTGATGAAGAAAGACTTCACAACGAACTTCCAGCAACATCAGCAGCATAAGCAGATGGTGCTCGAGCCACCAATTGACCGTTTGGTTATCTTCAAGGAGCTACGAGTCTCCAACTATTTCAGACGAGTTGAAATCCCATCGGGAGTAAGTTCAAAACTGATACAATCCGATTTCTTTAAACTGCTGACTAAAACTTTGAGCCTCTTGCTCTTCTATAGATGAAAGAAATCATTGCACATCAGGTGAAGCTAGAGAGCTTTCGACACATGGAACTACCAACCAAAGCAGGTACTGTAAACCCAACAGGGGAGAGTGACAAATCGGCGCAAAGCCAAGACATGGAGAAAAAGGAAAAGAAAGACGTTCCCGTTATCAAAGTTAACATTCGGAAGCTAGATGATCTTGCCGCTTCGGCGCCAGTACCAAAGCGCACAAAGACATCTCCCACTCCAACCAATACGAAAAACTTTCTGGGTGTTGGAGCAAAACGGGCTCGACAGATGAAATCAGCTCGAAAAGCCGCTGCAGTTGGCTTGGGGTCGAAAAAAAACAAGATGGCCCATACGGGAAGTGGATTGCAGCTCAATCAGGTCATCCGTTTGCGATATGTGAAAGGTTTTACTCAAGCAGTGCGCACACCTTGTCGTCGAGAAGACATATTGTAAACCTATAAAGATTCAAGGCACTTCTTGAGCATTATGAGTCGAGGATATATGACTCTGAGAGTATGACAGAGAACTGGTTAGGAAATTTCTTCCCCTTGCGCCTAACAATTTGTTTGGTCCAGAGCTTGTTGAGCGTGGCTGTCCTTGGCTCTTCTGGGCGACGACAAATAAAGAAAGAAACCCGTGGACTCTCCTTAGTCTCTTCGATTTCAAACCCAACTCCTTTCTCTCCTAACAATTCGAGGAACAATTCTGGAGTTAGGAAAGCACTCTTGGTCAAGCAGAACTTCGGGATTGTCAGGAATAGTCTCCCTCCAGGTCGAAGATGATGGTAAAGTCTAGCGCACATTTTCCCACGATCCATCGGTGTTGTCACACAGTTTAGAACCATAGAGCACACAATTACATCGTAACGCTCTTCTGTGACTGAGCTTGCAAAGGGAATTTTCAGGAAGTCTTGTTCTTCAATGCGTTTGTCCATAGAATGAATATCAATTGCTCTGACGCTCAAATTGTACTTTGGTTTTGCGACTGCGTTTCCGTCTGCTACTTCCTTCTGTTCAGCAGCATCTAATAATTCCGCATTGATGGCTCCAACTTCCAACAGACGAGTTGGGCGACGCCTCTTCTTCCCCTTCTTCCCAACCTTCTGCGGTCCTTCATCACCATCTTTTTTCGTCGTCTCGACAACTGGTATCCCATGGAGCCACCCAAAACGAGCAAGACCACCTATCACCCATTTACTGGTAGAATGAAAGGATGTCGATAACTGACTGGCTCGCTGGTACTCCTCTCGCCCTCCCATCTCCTCCAGTTGGCGATCCAACCGTGTGACTTCTGCGGTATTCTTCTGAGCCAGTGCGTGGTCTCTTTCTCTTGTCAGTTTGTGAAAGAGTGTGGTCACTTGTCTGGCTTTTTTCCTGCTTCTCATAATGGCGGGCTTGGGAGCTAGAGGGATAGGCTTTCTCTTGCGGTTTGGCATTGTACTTCAAAGTGTTGTGAGCGAAGAGTAAGGACTATACGATACTATCATCATGACCACAAACTGAAAGCTCTCTTTGGGGGATATGCGAACCAACTCTTCATCTCCCTTAAATTATCATGGTGGACTATTACTGGTACCGATACCTGGTACCTGATATTGTACCGTCGCGTACGGTACGTACCGGTACCGTAGCTACATTCCTGTAGTGATAAATTTGAATTTGTCGGGCTAACGACTTTTTCGAACAACTTTCCACCGGTGATCGTTGATGAGCATTTGGAGATTAGAACATGATGACCGAAAGATTGTCAAAACCAAAGTCTGAATACAGTAAGCAGACTGATGAGCTTTGCCATTTGTTTTCATCAACACTTCAATCATTGTCGGCTGATGCTACTGCCATTCGACAGCTCTCAAGTCTTTCGAATTTGATCAGTGAAGATGAGGAGAACCACCAACCGAATAGGAGAAATAGGGGTTGCAGCGGAAAAAGATTGGGGAATAATACTGCTATCGAGAAGGATAATACTACCAGTTCTGATGGAAAGGACGATACTTCCCACCTTGCTCAACTTCAGAGCTTGGATCGTGCGGTCACATCCATTGAACAAAAGGTGACGGCACTTCGTTCCATTGTGTCGGAAGAAAAAAGAGCCATTGCACATTTCGAAGGATCTTTGAGGGAAGAGTGCAAAGCTCAGCAACTAGCAGTTGAAAATATTTTGCAGGCCTATCAAGAAGTTCAAACAAATGAGCAAGTTATTGTCCCCCCAAAAAGAAAGCCCGAAAGCATGACAATTCCTGAGGAAACTGGTCCTCGATCGATTCCTGTCTCCAGTTGCATCAGTGCAACACATTCTGAAACGTGTAATACGAGCCCAATACAGCGGAGACGAGCTGAAAAAACGAGAAGGGATTCTGTTGATCCTCGGGTTGACCGTAATGTTCAACCTGCAAAGAACAATCCGGATGAGGATGACAATCAAGTTTCCTTCGCTCTTGTCACCGACAAGGAATTGTCGCGCATATCTCGAAATAGTCGGAGGCGTATCAATCTTCTGGATCTGAACGAAGCACTGGAGGAAATCGAATACGTAGCAGAGAACAAGTTCGATTCAATTCCGAGCCAAAAATCCTTTTCAAGTGCTTCACAACAGCGCCGATTTGAATACTTGAGACAACAACGAGGATCTAGCTATCAAGACATTGAAGTGGAGGCACACCAGGGACATTTTTGGGTGTCCGAGCAAGAGCTTCGTGAGACTTGCGTGTTCTTTCGGAATGGGGAGAGTACGGCGAGAGCAATATTGTCGATCCTCTGTAGCCTTCGACGACTCAAGCAGATTCCAGGGAAGAAACGCCAAGTCACATATCTATGCTTGGTTCGTGACAACAATGAAAGAAGTGGCGACCACGTCTAGGGGATGAAAGGACGTGAGGTGTATTCTCTCCTCTTAGCAAGTTGTACAGACATCCACCAGTCTATCCAAGTAGTAAGTGACTATAAAAACCATCACTACTGCTCTAGGTCAAAATTTCTGGAAGCATGGTGCATTCGGAAAAGGCGTGTAGCCGGAATCCTTCTTCTTCCATATTTGGAGTACATATCTGGAAACTCGCATTCAGCTTGGCGTTTACAATACTTCTTCTCTGGTCTCCTTCCCCGCTAGCTATTTCAGCCACCTATATTGAATATGCTGTATGATTTCTGCCTCCCCAAAATAATGGTAGAAAGAAGCATTGGCAGCGTTTTCAACAGCCTCTGTCCCGCAAAACTCGACGCGGACCGCCATGCCCAAGTCTGTCATTTCGGCGCAGCAACACGTTGGGTCGACATCACATTTTTCCCACGTCTCGATCTTGTAAAACGATGGAACAACGTCGGTAATGGTACTTTTGACTCGGTTTTGTTTGAAGTGGAAGGCCATGGCATTTGTCACTCATCACCTTTCCAACGCGATTTCGGAGTTTTACACCTGCCTTCGGAACATCATCCACAACAAGAACGCAATCATCCACTCGGAACCAATAACTCGTAGAGACATCTCGCATTGCCATGATGGTCGAGTTTGTCTGTTAGGCTTCGACCTTCGTGAGAAATGAAACAAAAGCTCAGATGAGTCGACCACCTTTGCATTTCATCACCATTATTCGTCAATTGGAGAACCTTCTAATGTACTGGTATACAGTAGTATACTGTGCCTTCTTCAAAGCGGCCTTTTGGTCCAAATTTAGGTTGTATTTGATATTCTAGATGTTTGATATCTATGAGCTAGAAAAAGGGATTCTGTTGCTAGTCCTGCATTGCGCTGGAGCTATCAGCTTAGACGTTGGCAAAAGCAACAATCCATTGCATACATACAACGCATTTGAATCAATGCAAATGATGGGAGGCTTGATGTGTTGTTCATAGAACAGCCCGATATGCGTCAGCTCTTGATTTGAAATCTTGGAGATCTCATCTACAAAAGACAAGAAAGTGTGAGGCGGCATCATTTGAAAAGTGATTCGAATGGTCGTCGATCTTTGGCTACCGATCTCAAAGATTAAACTTCCATGTGCAACATTGTTACAATCAAGAAAATACGTAAAGTTTCGCCACGGCCAAGAGTGCAATTTTGTTTTAGGCTCAGAAGACACGCAATCATCAGAACCACAGAGATGGAACCCCATTGAGCGAGCTCGTCGGGAGTATATATGAAAAGTTTATCTATAGTTTCCTCACTTGATTGCGTGCACAATTGATGACCACAAACGCAGATCCGACACATACCTTGAATAAAATGGTTCATTGTGAAAATGGCGTGTCAATACCTCCGTTCCCACTTCGAATGGACAAAATTTTAGATGCGTGTTCTTGAATGGCTGCTTGGAGAATATCAAAGACAGCACGACATCCATCCATGGCAGCGTCTAGAACTCGCTCCAATGTGTCAAAATCGGGTAAACGGGATTCGCATTGCGAAAGCACAATGGTCCCACGTTGCGGCAGCATCGCACACGGAAGATACACAGCTGGCTGCCCACCATTCGGAGATTCTTCCCTACGATTAAGATCCACTAGTGTTGTATCAGTCGTCCCGCCAGCATACCCTGCTGAGCAGGAGCACAGCAGGTCCTTCATGGGGATTCCACTGTCCACAAGTGCCATCGAGGCAGCGTTGATAGATGCGCACAAGCGGCCTCCGTCATCAGCCAGAATGACAACGCTGACTTCAATTCGTGACTTTGGGTACAGATGTAGCAAGACAGTGGCTTCCAATGCGCGCTTGAGCATGTGCGAGATCTCAATCAGTCTTCGGTCACTGTTCGGGTTGGTGACCCGTCGATCCCCAGATGGAGCAAAAGGTGTCGCCTTTATGCTTACATCCATAATGGCGCGATCCGGAAGCTCGTCCGAGCGGCGAACGCAGGCCATTGGTCCCTTGACGGTAGCTAGGACAATTGTAAGGCCCATTTCGACAAGAGCACTTCCTCCCACGGATTCGGCTGTCGAGGTGATGGGTCCCATTTGAATCCTCATTCGCCGGATTTCTTCGGGTTTACGTCCATCGTCACGAAGATTTGACAGAGCCAATAGGTCTGTCCGTCTAATGGAAGACCCCATTACCTTTGTTTCATTATTGTCAATTGGAAAGTGAAAGTTACAATAATGATTTTTTTGGTGGAAATTTGATTTGAGTGGAACACGAGCAATAACGAGCGCATGAATGCGCGACAAGATTTGATGTGATGTGTGAGAAGAAGGACAGGACAGATTGAACATTGCAGAACCAGAAGTTCATCGATATGACTGGACGACTGGCACTCTCCTTACTTCAACTGCCGCAACACTGTACCAGCAACTCATCTTGCTCAATGAGAATATCACAGCATTTGTTCACATGGCACTGCCTTCTTTCAAAATCTACAAGAACTCATGCCTTTGGCACCCCTCACTCACATTTTGATTCCAATAGTAGAAGGTTCCTTTCTTCTACTGGAGGGACAGAGAAATCTCTGGAGAATAAAGAATTTTCGACCGAATACCATGCACCAGTTATGTGGAAGGAGTGTATCGATTCACTATTGAACTGTGAAAGATCGCAAGCTCGAACAGATGATTCAGACGACAGCGACAGAGAACCATTAATATTTATTGACGGAACGCTGGGAGGTGGTGGGCATTCTGCTGCACTTTTGCAAAAGTTGAATGCTGGAGACATTGTATTTGGCTGTGATGTGGATTCTGAAGCCCTCGAGACAGCCTCTAACCGACTGGGGAAATACATGGATCACGATGGGAAAGAGCTTCCGTTTTTCATTCCAGTCCAATCTAACTTTGGTGAATTGGATTCTACGGTTACGGAAGCTAAACATCCAGTCACTCAACAAACAATAGTGGGAGAGGGAGTAGATGGAATTCTATTGGATTTGGGTGTCAGTTCTCATCAAATTGATACAGCCGAGCGAGGCTTCGCATTCATGAAGGTACGTCAGTGTAGTTTCGATATACATGTCAACAAATGACTTCATTCTGTGGAGCCATTGGATTGTCTCTTTGTCTCTGATTTCTTTGTCTTTTTCTTTGCTGCCCTTGTTTTACGTGCATTGATTGCACTCTATCTTATCCATCTTTCCTTGTACTGCTTAACAGGATGGACCATTGGACATGAGAATGGGGCAGAATGCAATGTCTGGGTTGACAGCAGCCGATATTTGCAACGAATTTGACCAGATGGAGCTGCAAAAGATTTTCAGTAAGTATAGTGACGAACCCAGGGCAAAAACAGTAGCCAAAGCAATAGTTTCGAACCGCCCACTGTCCACAACCAGGGAGCTTGTAGATGCCATTGGAACAGTCACTCCAACATATGCAAAGCAAAAACGAAAAGGATTGACTGCTACATGTGCCAGAGTGTTCCAAAGCTTGAGAATTGTTGTCAATGCTGAGGACAAAGTCTTGGATAGAGTACTTTCAATAGTGTGTCCAACATTGATTCGTCAAGGAGGTCGACTTGTGGTAATGTCTTATCACAGTATGGAAGACCGTGCAACAAAGCGTATCATGCGCGATGGTACAGTGGAGAGAAGAAAGAATATTGATCAGCGAGACATTTACGGAAACTATGCTGGCCCTCCAAAACCGTTCAAGCCGGTGGGGAAGAGACAGAAAGCTCGCAATGAAGAGGTTGAAGAAAATCCAAGAGCTAGAAGTGCTGTATTGAGAGTTGCAGAAAGGCTTGATTCCTAGGCCAGATGTGTGGGACTGACCCCTTCAAGCAAGAATCATGGACTCGTCACTATCGTCAGAATCTTTATTCTCAAGATGGTCCAAGGACGATTCAAACTCTTTGATGGGATTTCTACTAGACGAGTCTTTTTCCGACCCATCAACTCGAATGTCAGCACTAGTCGGAGTCTTGAACCCAACCAATGATTCAGTGTCTACAAGGTTTTCAAATGTATACTCATGAGACGACGCCCGTTTGTATCTCCGTGTGTCGCGAAACTGCTCGATTTCCCCGAAATCGTCAAATTCGCCAGAATAGCTATTCGGAATAAGTTCAGTCAACCGGTTGGCCAAGTATTTGATGTCTATCTCAGTTTTTTCTCGGAACGCCTTAGCCATTCTATCTCGTTCGTCAGGATCCTCTATTTGATCCAGTTTCTCGCTCGCGGCCTCGGCATTATAGAGCTCCTGGACTCGTCGAACGGCGCTTTTGGCCGCCCGAGCCTGCAACCTTCGAATTGACGGTTTTTCGCCAGGTTCCAAGGGTCTTGAATGGTCGAAGTTGAATCCAAGACCAATACCAAGAGCTTGCTGTACTGCGACACCCAAGGGATCCTGTTGATGAGAGTGCACATTTTTAGCCGACTGGTCTTCAGAAGAGACAGACTACAAGTCTTCAATGAACTCACCTCGAAGGTATTGTTATCGTAATCCTCTTGATGTTTCTTTGCGATGCGGTCCATGGCATCTGTTTTCCATCGCTGTCTATTCGACATAGGAAAGCTATCTGCATGCACCTTTTCCCAAACCATGTTACCCTTTTTTAAATCTGCTTTGAGTTTCTCGATTCGTTCATTTTCGAGTTTCTCGCGAACAGTCCCTTTGATAAACAACCAATATTCCAAGCCCGAAATCCATTCTTTTAGTAATGGCTTCAGACGCTTCTCTTCCCTCCACTCGATTCGGTATCTCCATTTCATTCTTTGTTCCATTTCCGACTCGTTTCCTATTTGCTCCTTGAACACCTGAGAACTCACTGACAGAGACAAGTCATGGGTGTAAACAATTCGGAATTGATCGAACAAGAATCCAAGATGGATCCAGGGACTAGTTGTGTAGGAGCGAACCAATTGTTAGAACAACGAGACACGCCTTGTAAAGCTATTGAGCCTATGCAACTCACCCAAGTAGTGCCAAGAGACCAACGGAAGACGAAGCACACAACGTCAACCAGTCGTATGACCTCTTTGGTACATATTTCCAGAATGAGAACTGACTACGCCGAAGAGTCTGGCGGAGATTGCCAAGCGGCTTCGTCCAGAATGCAACCACAGCAAATGAGTGCAAGACTTTGGTCCAGGAAGATCTCTTTTCGAGCATCTGAAACCCGTCCCTTCCCTTTTGGTCCATCCGGACGACCGTGCCAACAAAAAGAGCTACAATTGACATATACAAAGCAACAAGACCGTCTCGTTGTAAATGAAAAAACGCCCTGGCAAGGTCGAACGAGACCACAAGTGGTGTCACCGCAACCGTGCGCGATACCAAAAATCTCATTGCCCAAGGAAAGAACCCAATTGGTTTTGGCTGCTGTGACCGAAGGAGTTTGAATATCTGACCTTGAAACTGGTGTATTGACGCAATAGTGCCGAGTCGAGCAATAGGCTGGACAAATGACATCCAAAATCGGACGATGGCTGTTGATGGAACCAGCTTCATCGAAACCCCTATTCCCATCATTGCAACGCCTAGCACCGCCGACGCCCAGTATTCCAACAGGAATTGAACGTAATCTTGGCAATTATTTTCTGGTTCCACCCATTTTTTAGTGATGAATGGCAAATAGTCTGGATCCAGGCGCTTCAGTTCTTGCGGCATGGGTTCTGGTTTGGGCTTTGTAGTCATCTTTGCCAATAAGAGGAGCAAAGGTGCGGCGACTACTACCAGCCAAAAGTGTAGATCGGAGCATCTTGTCATTGCTTGTATTACCACCTGTAGGGCTCTATTCCTGCTGGCAACGCGTGCAAGTAGTGATAGAGCCAATGGAAAATACACCAACCGCTTCAAATCCGGATAGATCTCACGTCGTTGCTTTGCACAGTAGTCCAGCATTTCCATTCTTTCAGCATGTTGCAAATTTTCCTCCGCATTTTCTAAGTTGATCGCGTACTCCAAAGCATCTAAGTCGCGATAGACATCCCCGGCTTTCCAGCCAGCATCATTCTGTGACGAAAACCAACAAGAGACGCTCCTTTTCTGTATTTGAAAACATCGACTTGTTTTCCGATGCAAACGTTGCTTCGCTCCTAATAAGCAATTCCCAGTGTACATTCGACTCTGTAAGCCTTCACATCTGGATATCGTGACGAGGACGAGGACTAGGACTAGGACTAGGCATATTCGATATAGCATCTCTGTTGAACAGTGGAAATTGAAAATGGTTGGTCTTAAAAATTCAAACTGGACATCATGATAGGGACTATTTCTGTCGCTCGAAAGAGGTGGTGCGACAGTGACTTGTCGCCTGCCCGCTTTCTCGTTTATAGTCACTCCTTATCAGGGCAATTCTCCAAATCCACAGATGACTTTGCAAACGTTCATTGGACGATACCGAGGGAGCGAATGAATTCACTGGAGTGACGCTGAAATTTCCTTTCCAACCCAAAACCCTCACAAATACAAACTTGAATCACTGTTGTGGAATATCAAAGTCGCGATGCCTGAAATGAAGAGAGTCCTTATTTTTGGTGGAAAGACCGGATGGATTGGTCAAATGATGGGAGAGCTCGTCAAGAAGGAAGGTTAGTGTATTGTCGCTGCTGAATAGTTGGATTGAGTGGGAGCACCAGTGCGGTCATTGTGCTGTGTCTTGCCTTTTCCAGCCTCATTTTCCTTAATCACGCCTTTTTCAATACATTCAAAATGAAATATAGAGGGAATTGAGCTCTTCATTGCCGATAGCCGAATCCAAAACCGCGAAGCCGTCGCAAAGGAGCTTGACGAGATAAAGCCAACGCACGTTTTGAATGCTGCTGGAATCACTGGACGCCCTAACATTGATTGGTGTGAAGACAACAAGCCAGCAACTATGAGAACCAATGTCATCGGTACCTTGAACTTGGCTGATCTATGTGACGAACGTGGAATCCATTGCACTGTCTACGCCACTGGATGTATCTTTGTTTACGACGAAAAGCACCCTGAGGGCTCTGGTATCGGATTCACGGAGGAGGATGCTCCCAACTTTGACGGATCTTTCTACAGTCAAACTAAAGGATACATGGAACCCATGTTGAAGGAATACCCAACCTGTCTAATATTGAGAGTGCGTATGCCTGTCTCTGACGACCTTTTCCACCGCAACTTTGTCACCAAGATTGTCAAGTACGAGAAGGTTGTCAACATCCCCAACTCCATGACAATTTTGACTGAAATGCTGCCAGCGTCCTTGGCCATGGCAAAGAAGGGATTGACCGGTGTCTACAACTTCACCAACCCCGGAGTTATCTCTCACAACCAAGTATTGGATCTCTACACAAAGTACATTGACCCATCGTACACTTACACCAACTTCACAATTGAGGAACAAGCCAAGGTCATCAAGGCACCGCGCTCCAACAACGAGCTTGACACCACAAAGCTCATGAGAGATATGCCAGAAGGAATTGTCATTAATGATATCCACACTGCCTACGAGCTCTGCTTTCAAAGAATGAAGGAAAATTTGACCAAGATGGGATGGCTTCCCGACAATATGCCTGCCGAATTCAAGAAAAACAAATAATTCAAGAAGCCTCTACTGACTATTTGAAATATCCTCTTTTAAATCGAGCTTAATATATTAGCAAGCCGTGTTGCTCTACGTACAAAACATGTTTTAGCTTTTTAATCAGCGTTATTGGATGATGCAGCACACTACTCCAGGAGGACACCCAAGTGCACCAGCCAAACCACCGGCATTGCTCTGATTTGCAACCGAAGTAGACTGTGTTCCTCCACCGCCATTTTCGTTATTGTCGGCAGCGTATCCAGCCTTCACTACCTCTGCAAGTTTTGTCAAAGTAGTGTCCTCCCGAAACAAGTACTCGTCCGATATTTTCACAGCATAGCTTGATTCGAAGCTACCCTTGAATTGAGATAGACTGAGACTGTCTAGAACAGTGATGAGGGCTGTATTGTCGTCAATACAGTCTGGTGGGATTTGACCCACTTTTGAGACTTCTACTCGCAATAGATCACGAATGTCATCTCGGCTCTTCTTTCGTAGTTTTTCGATATCTTCTACACTAAGTGCTTTGCTTTGATTTGTTCTGGTTTGATCAACTTCAAAAGAAGAAGCACCTTCTTTGAATGATTTCCTGAAGACGACTTTCAGCGTTCCGCCAATGAATGCCTTCCGACACCAAGCACGAGCGATCTTTCCACTCGTTGTTTTCGGTACAGTTTTGGTTTGTAGAAATACAATTTGACTGACACCCAGTGAGTGCTCTTGGTTGATGGCTGAGCGTACTTGGTCTGCCAGTGGATTGCAAACAATCTGGACTTCCTTTTCTGTGGGAACCTCTCTCAGTTCCATTACTAGCGCAACTTCTTCGCCACCTGCATGGGTTGGGTCAATGGTAAACGCTGCAGAACAGCCAGGTCGCAATTGGTCAGAAGTTGATTCTGCTGTGGCCTCAAGGTCTTGTGGATAATAATTTCTTCCAGCAATAATAATCAAATCTTTTAATCGACCGCAAATGAATAGCTCCTTATTGTGGAGAAAGCCTAGATCACCAGTTCGAAGGAATTGTGTTTCATCGTCACCTTCAACAGTAGCGTGAAAGTCCTCCTTTGTTTCAGTTGCCTTGCGAAAGTAGCCACCAGCTTTACTAGAAGAAGAAACCCAGATTTCACCAACTGTTCCTTCTGGTAAAACTTTACGGGTCTCTCGATCCACAATTCTGACATCGACACCTTGTCGGTCTGGGTATCCACACCCAACCAATCTGGAAACCGTGGCATCGTCAGTACTGCCATCATTTTTCAGGACAACTTGACCATCTACTTCTAGCCTTTGTTTGTCTACGCTTATTATTTGCTTCCCACCCGAACAAACGAAAACCGTGTGCTCTGCTAGACCATAGGTCGGGAAAATGACAGGTTTCAATCCAAATGGACCAAATGCTTTCATGAAGGCCTGCATACCGTCCTCATCAACTGGCTCGGCAGCATTGATTATATGGCGCAACGAAGACAAGTTCAATGGTTTGTTGACATAGTTGCTGGCCTGGAACTTTCGAGAAGTCAGTTTGAAGGCAAAATTTGGAGCTTGACAGTGAGTAGCTTGATATTTGGAGGCCGCCTCGATCCATAGCATTGGTCGCTGCAGGAACGACAAGGGAGACAGATAATACCCGCTTCCTCCACAGTATGCAACCCCTAAATAGCTTCCAATTAATCCCATGTCATGATATTGTGGAAGCCACGAAGCAACAATTGTGTCGTCTGTAGCCTCGAGTTCATTCGTGATGATGGTAAGGTTGTGGGCCAAGTTTCCGTGAGTGATCATGACACCTTTTGGTTCACTTGTAGAACCAGAAGTATACTGCAGGAAGGCTATGTCCTGAGGTTCAATTGTGATTCCTGGGGTGTCATTGTTGGAGCTGGATGATGCCTTGTCCGTTGTAATCCATTTGAGATTATCGGGCCAAGAACCAAGGGGTCTTTTGAATCTTGTCAGAGCATCTTTGACACTTGCCAGTTTTTTTAAATGGTTGTATTCTTGGTTGGTCAGAGCCACTTGTGCGCCGCTGCTTTCTGTGATTTTACCAAACATGTGCAGCGAATCGCGACGAGCAGGGTTTGGTGGGAAGACTGGGACTGCAATGATTCCCACCTTGATGCAAGCGAAAAATGCTACCATAAAATCCAAAGAAGGTGGATACACCAACAACGCTCTGTCTCCTTGACGAAGTCCACTTTCAAGCAAATGTTGGGCCAGATTCGATGTTTCAAGGTTGAATGAATCGTATGTGTACGATTTTTGTATTTTGCCACCGTTCAAACCAGGTCCCAAAAAGGTGAAGAGCTTTTTCTCACCATCTTTGGCGATGTTCTTGGTCAGTTTATCCAAGAGGAGATCTAGATCTGGTGCGCCATCAGACGATGTCATGGTCGGTCTACTGGTCTCTGTATAAATTTGTATTACTACTATGGGCGCAATCACAAAGGCTTCGTTATTATTAATAGATGTTGACCTTTCAAAAAATGCGTTTTCATAAATGGGGGGGGGGATCCCCTCGCAATTTTGGTTTATCTTGCACCGCCGTGCGTGAAAGAAATAACTCTATCTTTCTGTCAGTATACTTGCACACAAGTTCGATATGTGTAGATCGGACTTAGGTTGCTGGTGCAATACTGAGATGACGGTCGCCCTACCGTCGTTCATGGAGTCACTATTGAGTCCATTGGTTCGACCGCTTTCTTCCGTCTACGTTAGAAAATCTTGAATCAATCAACAAAATTAAAAATCAAATACCGGTATTTATTACTACAAGCCTTTTTTTGCCGGACAAAGCATCCTGCACCACTATCGTAGTTTGTACCTACGTCAGAAAAGAAGACAAACGATGAATGCTGATTTGAAGCGCGAGCGGGAACAGGCCAGCTTTGATGTGCTGAAGATAACCCACATGTTTGATGGTGGCAAGGCTGCCACTGATCGCCGACGATATCTAGAGAGAGTGATTGAACGAGATCCAACTGATATCTTTTCGAACGATGACAACCATTATCTTCATAGAACGGAGCGTCACGTTCGAGCCACAGCAAAGCATGTCCGTCTAGTGGAGATTTGTCGAAAGCTTGGTATTGGAAAAGAGTGCGGCGGTGAACTTTGCGAGAGCGATGACTTTTATTTCTTGCTGGACGCTGTTGCTGATGATTTGCCGACGGCTCTGCACTGGGTCATGTTCCTACCAAATATCAAGACGTTGTGTGATGACGAGCAACAAGCCAAGTGGTTGCCTCTGTGCCGGGATTGGAAAGTGATTGGCTGCTACGCACAAACCGAACTTGGACATGGATCGAATGTAAGAGCACTGGAAACTACTGCTACCTTTGTTCCTGAATCAAAGGGAGGCAAAAAAGGTGGAAGCTTCGTCATTCATTCCCCCAGCATGACTGCTGCAAAATTCTGGCCTGGTACGCTTGGAAGAACTGCGAATCATGCGATGGTCATTGCTCGGTTAATTGATGGAGAAGGCGTAGACCGTGGCATTCACAATTTCATCGTTCCATTGCGTTCCATGGAAGACCATAGTCTTCTGCCCGGAGTTAAAACTGGTGACATCGGTCCCAAAATTGGCTACAACAATATGGACAACGGATTCGCCTACTTCGACAATGTAGAAATTCCTCGTCGCAACATGGCCATGCGATTTGCTGAAGTGGACGAGAACGGAAAGTACTCCAAGAAACATGTTTCCGCTGCTGCTTCGAAGGTTGCCTACATCACTATGATGCAAGTGCGTGCAATGATCGTAATGGGATCCTCCAAGGCATTGGCAATGGCCACAACCATCAACATTCGATACTCGGCTGTTCGAAAGCAAGGCTACAATGAAGATGGCAAGACAGAAGTTCAAGTTCTGGACTACAAACAGCAGCAGCACCGTATTTTTCCTCTTCTTGCGGCATCCTACTGCTTTTTCTTTTCGGGAAGAAAGCTATGGGACAACCTCAAGAAAATTGAACATAAACTGATCTCCAAAAAGCCCGTTACCAAGGTGCAAGTTGCTGATATTCATGCCACGTCATCGGCATTAAAGTCTTTTAATACGATGGTTGCAGCTGATGGTATTGAAGAATGCCGCAAGGCTTGCGGTGGTCACGGCTTTCTTGCTAGTTCAGGACTGCCAGAACTAATGTGTAGCTACTTACAAAGCCCTACAGTCGAGGTGAGTGATTAGCGTTCAAGCTATACTGGTACAATAGTGCAATAGCGATACGACTTGCGTTGGAAGTCTGATTGCTAACGTCATTATTTCGCTGATAGGGAGACAATCACATGCTCCCACAACAGGTAGTTAAGGTACTATTGAAGCTAGTACAAGCAGTCCAGAGTGGTGAGGGGGTTGATGCATACACAACTTGCGACTCTTATAGTCTTGTTCCTTCGCTGAAAGCTCTATTTAGTGGACAGCGAGAGAAGTGTCTCGCTGTAAACAAGACAGATATGAAGGACTTACCAACATTGCTCTTGGCGTTCCGACATCGTGCTGCCATGCTTCTCATAAACGTGGCGAAGCAACTCAATGACGATGTCATGAATGGAAAAAGTATGCAGGAAGCCTGGAACTATGCTTTGGTGGCCATGGCCAAATCATCCAAGGCTTATTCTTTATTTTTGCTCTTGCGAAATTTCATGGAAGGAATTATGGAAGAACAGCGCAGCAAACTTCTTGGGCGGGCCGAGGTCAGCGTACTTGGCGACTTGGCCCGTATGTTTGCATTGTACTGGATGGAAAAGGACATCGGCGACTTCATTCATGATGGCTACCTCACGGCCAAACAAGCTAGCTGGGTAGCACCAAATGTATTGGAATTCCTAGATGCTATCCGTCCAAATGCTGTAGCTCTAGCAGATGCCAGAGATCTATCTGACTTTCGTTTGAAAAGTGCGCTTGGACGCTATGACGGGAATGTTTACCCACACATTCTTGAAGCGGCATACAAGGATCCACTGAACTCGGTGGACCCAGGCCCTGCATATGATCCAGAGCTGAAGCGCTTGATTACGGGAGGAGTTGGAGTCTACAGTGGCACAGCGTCAAGACTGTGACTTTCCTATTGTACCTACTAATACTAATAGTACTCAAGTCCACGTGGACAAGTATTTGTGGCAAGGATAACGTCTGTAAATATGCGGCATGTTCGATGTCACGGTTGAGCTAAGAATCGAACTAATCGGATAATGAATCAGTCGGCGGGATCTACCGCAATATTGAATATCTTCATCTTCGAAACAGCACTTGTTGTCATTGCTTTCATCTTGCGATTGGTGAAGCAGTTTCGTAATATCTTCATTGCAAGATAGCCAGGGCTTCGAAATGGCGTCAATTAGCAAATTATCAATTCGTGGTGTTCGAGCGTTTTCTCCGGATGACGATGAGCAGGTCCGCAGTTCTGTTGTTTTGATCCACGGCTTTTCTTGTTCCACTTGTTAGACGGTTTTGGCTCAGTTTGATGCTTCCATTGCAGGTTCTTGAGTTTTATTTCCCATGTACAATCATTGTAGGGGCAAACGGATGTGGAAAGTGAGTTTTTGTTCTTTGGGTGATGATGCTAATTGCGGTGAATGGTGTTTGCTAACAAAATTAAAAAAAACATGTCCACCCATTCCTCTTCACGACCTCGGTAGAACCACGATCATCGAAAGTCTCAAGTTTGCCGTTTGTGGGGCGCTTCCACCTGGAAACAAGTCCGGTCAAGGTTTGTATGAACAGTTGTTGATGTGACTTTTTCTTGAAGCGTTGTCTGACTCGTGTTTTCCTCTGTAGCTTTCGTTCACGATCCCAACAGTATTGGGCAGTCCAGTGTGAAGGCGCAAATCAAACTACGATTTACAAATCGGTAAGTTGTCAGGATTTTCAGAGATTGGATTTCCACACCTTTCACCCATGTTTCTCGATGAATGAAACTGCAGCGGCGGGCGAACAATGGTTGTGCTCCGGTCAATGGAACTCGCACAGAAGAAGAAAAACATGACGTTCAAGCAGCTGGACGGAGTAATTCGAATGACAGATGAAGATGGTCAGCGCCAATCTCTCAGTCACAAATGTAGTGAATTGGATCGACAACTCCCCGTGTTGCTTGGTGTATCGAAAGCGATATTGGAGCACGTTGTTTTCTGGCAAGTCCTCCATGCTTCAAATACAATGGGATGGATGCGATTTCTAATTATTTCATCTCGTTCCTCGTTTTCCTCCTCCGCAGTCACCAAGAGGATGCAAATTGGCCGCTTCAAGAGGGGGCCGTTCTAAAGAAGCGATTTGATGACATTTTTGATTCAACCCGTTACACAAAAGCGCTTGAAGTGTTTAGCAAATTGAAAAAGGATTACACTTCGAAGGTGAAGGACCACAAAGCAGATGTTGCCTCGTACTCATCCCATTTACATGCTGCCCAAGGATTTCAGGCTGAAGTTGAGAAGTATAGTGACCAACTTGAGCTTGTGGAGCAGGAAATCGAGGAGAACACTGAGGAGCTACGGCGGACTGAAAACGAGGAAAAGCGGCTCAACGAGATTCTTGACCAACTAGATGAAATTCAACTCGACGTCGACGACAAAAGCAATAGCTTACACACTTTGACGGAACTTGCAAACAAAACTCGCAAGATGCTGGAGGATGACCTGACAGAAGAAAAATCAGCGAGAGAACTCAAGGAAATGCTTCGAGACTTTGACTCCAAATTGAATGACCAAATTGACGAAATGGATGATCTGCAAGGGGAAATCAGCCGATTGAAGAATCAAATTTCGGAGCTGACACAAGAAGAGTCCAAGCTGCAGTCACAATTGGGAAGGTACCAGGCTGAGAAGGATGCACAAGTAGAGCGCCAAACTTTGCGTTGCGAAAAAGTGATTCAAGGAAATAATAGATTTGGGCTCAACTCGACACTAACTGCTTTCTCGCAAAGCCAAAGTATGACGCAAAATGCTTCGTTTCTAGAGGCCTCTGGACAACCTGTTCAACTAGAAATGTCCAAAACCGATCTGGATGACTACTTTCGTGCACTGGGGAGAAAGACATCGGAACTCGACGAGGATTTGAACCGAAAAACAAAGCTTCGTCTGCAATCGGAGGATGAATCGCAATCCCAACTCGTGGACCTCAAGGGCAAGTTGCAGTCAATCAAGAACGAACAGAAGAAGCTCAATCATGACATTGACGAGGCCAAAAAGGAATACGAGGACGTAAGCAGGCAGGTCTCACAAATTTCGCGAATGCGTAAGGACGATGTCGAAGATGCGAGAAACAATGCTAATAGACTCGCCGCACAAAGAGACAAGCTAAACAAAGATCCACGGCGAAGCCAGATTGCAACAGAGATCCGAAGCTTCGAGGACAAGAGTGATCGTAAGTGACATACTCATCAAATGTGATGGCTTCGTGAATTCTCCACTAATTCCCTTGCCAATTCAAAGGTCTTAAACGAGATCTCGAAGAAGATAGCGACGCTTTGCGTGACCTGCGAGAAACGGCAGAGGCACAACACGAAATTACTGTTCTGAAGCAACAAATCGCACGTGACATCGAGGATTTGAAGGAGTCTATTCAAGAATCTGATTTTGCATTGAAGAGCAGAAATATCGACATACCGACTATCGAGTTAGACGGGGATGAAATTGGCGATGGTTTGAGCCAGGCGATGGGTAAGCTCACGGAAGACGTTTCGTCAAAATTTCAAATTGCTGATTCAGAGCTCCGAAAGGCCCGGGAGCAGTTCAACGCCCTCCAAAATGTTGTCGCGGAGAAGAGTGCACTACTTACACGTGATCAGCAGCTTGTTCACAACAAGAGGGACAAGCTGGCGAGTTTGAGCAGTGAGGGTGGTATCAAGAAAGTTGAGAACGTTGTATCCGAGTTGCGTCAATTTGAAGCATCAAATGCTATTGCAACGCCGCCTGAATTGAACGAGACCAAACCGAAAGAGCTGCTCACTTACTTGGAAGAGAGGTTAGAAGCTGAAGAAGCCGAGAGTCTCGAGGGCATACAACCAGAAGTTATCAGCAAGATAATTAAACGCCTAAAGAACAAGGTAAGATGTCTTGGGAAGTGTCAACTTCCCCATTAAAATGTTTTTGACACGTTGCTTTTTCACCAAGGCAAAACGACCAGGTCAAAAAGTAGTCTGTCCTTGCTGCAAAAGAGGACTAGATGACCAGGACTCAGTTCAAGTTTTCTCTGAACAGATGAAAATGCTCATGGGCTCGGAATCTCCATTGCTAAAGGATGGTGAAAATAACAAGACAGCCAAATCTCAGTATCAAAAGTGGCGCAGGATCACTACAGAGAACATGAACGACATCTTGGAGTACCGCCGCATCGCGAATGAAGTCAATGATATAGAACACAATTGCACATCCCTAGAGACCGTAGTCGAAGAGAGAAAGGAAGATCTTGAAACCACGAAAACGGCTCGAGATGAAATTTTGTCTGAGGTCGATGGGCTGCGTAGTCTCCTGGAGTCCTGTAAGATGTGGCAGGGTGCATCAGATCGCATCAACCTCAAGAGATCACAGGCAATGAACAAGTGCAACACGCTGTCTATCAGCGAAAGTGTGCACAGTGGCCGTGATCTGAAAACGGTCGAACGAGACTTTGCCGAGAAGACTGAAAAGAAGGATGAGTACCAGGAAAAGGTATGATTCGAAAGTCAAACACTTATCGGGATGAAAATGCAGCTCACCGATCTTTCTTTGTCTGTAGATCAGTCGTCTCAACAAGGAGATGACAAAGATAAACAATCAGATGTCTTCAGTTTCGAAGCAGGTGAGTCACGTTCGAATTGGTGTAGATTTACATCGAGGAGTTCCTCAAACTGTTTTCCTAGGCGACTGATGCCGAAAATTTAGCAAGAGAAAAGGAAGAGAAGTTTGCTGGAATCCGAAAGCTGTCCGATCGCAAGAAAGCTTTGAATGAAAGAATTTCCAAAACTTCAAAAGAACTTCTTGAGCTCGGGGATAACATTAAACCAATCAAGGACAAGATAGCAAAAAAGGAATCAGAGGTACAATACGCACATGAGGGTTCGCAGTTCAAATTGCCGACGTCACCTAACCACTTTCGTTTCTTTCATTGTTCGTCAAAGAGAGAAAAAATGAGAAAACATACTATGGAAGAAGAGAATGAAATCAGGAAAACCACCGAGCAGCTCAAGATGTTCGAAAATGAATTTCGAGAACTCCAACGACAGATTGACGATTTTGATTCAAGGAATGAAGTTAATGCTCTAGAACGCATTGAGAACCAAATCGAGGGGTTTCAATCAAAGCGAAAGGAGAAAGAGGCCAATGTAGCAAAAATCCAACCACATTTGGAACGGCTGAAGAAAGCATTGGATGACCAGGAACGACACAAAAAGAATCTGAATGAGAATATAAACCTGCTTGATCTCAATGCTCAAATTCGAGACCTCGAAAGGGAGCTAGAGAACCTTCAGGAGGGCACGAAGCAAATCAAGGGGCGTGACACTGCCAAGGATGATATTGACAATCTACAGAGGCGAAAAAACAAACTTGCTCAACAAAATGCAAGGCTAGAAGGAAGAAGAGGCGAAATTCACGAGAATATTCGAAGTTTCAAGGTATGAGCTTGTTTGGTGTTTGCGACGCATTATTTAGTCGGCTAAGATTCCTTGCTTGTAGCGGAAGCTGTCGCAACCAGAGTACCGGAGCGTAGACGAGGAGTACAGGATAGCTTCGATTAAGCACGACACCACGGAGATGGCAGTTCGAGATATTGGAAAATATCATGCAGCTCTTGACAAAGCCCTGCAGCGGTTCCACAGTCTCAAGATTGCCGAAATAAACACTATCATTAGAGATCTATGGAATCTAACGTACAAGGGAGAAGACATCACGAGTATTGCACTCGTCTCTGGGAAGGACACTGGGTCTCGTTCAACCCGTTCGTATAACTACAGAGTTGTCATGACCAAAGGTACCACAGAGCTTGATATGCGAGGTGAGAAAATAAGTTCTTCCTGTGGCACCATGTGTGGCTTGTTGTTGCTCACCATGTCTTTATCGTCGTTTATTCAAGGTCGCTGCAGTGCTGGACAGAGAGTTCTGGCAAGTATTGTCATTAGGTTGGCCCTTGCAGAGACTTTCTGTGTCAACTGTGGGTGCATTGCTCTTGACGAACCCACTGTGAACTTAGACTATCGAAACAAGAAGGGTTTGGCAGTTGCATTGGCTCAAATCATTGCTTCCCGTGCAAAGCAGAGAAACTTTCAGCTGATCATGATTACGCATGATGAGGACTTCGTTGCAATCATGAAGACAGAGTTGGCCTCCCAGACGGGATTTTCGATGCCTGAAAAGTACTTCCAAGTTAGGCGTGAGGAGGGAGCAGATGGAAAGTTCTACTCCAAGATTGATGCGATCGACTGGGAGGAACTAGTTTAGTTTCAAAGTGAAAAGAGATTGCAACAGTTTTATAACCATCAACATAAAATTTAATTCTGCAGTAGATGGATGATGCCACTACTAGGAGGAAGTAAAGGCCTCTCCCTATATTTCGTTGCGATCTTCTTTCTATATTTTCCGTTTTGTGATGGATTTCAAGTTCATCACACTCCTCGCAGGTATGTGCTGACTCATGCCACTGATGAAGCTGCTATATTTGATGATTCTTCAAACGGGGATGCGATTATGTCAGCGGCTGCAGCAATAACGAAAGAATCGTGCCAGCTACTGGGTATCAAGTCTGTCGGGGTAGACTATGGGCTGGTTCGCACTGGTGTCGCTGCTACGATTGGGTACGAACCAACGCCTCTGAAAATCCTATCGAACCTGAACAACACAGAAGTTTCTCAACACGTAGTTCAAATGTGCCGCGCAGAGCAGGCAAGCCAAGTGATTGTTGGATTACCCCTACACAAAAATGGAACAGAAGCCAACCAAACGACGATAACTAGAATGTTTGCTGCCGAGCTTGCAGACCACGTGATCAAAAATCTGGTAAGAATTCCTGACTCGCAATCAAGGTAGATCAAAGGGCTTTCTTGACTAAGGGCTTTCTTGACATTATATGTCGTTTCTGTTTATAGGGGCCTAGTGTTTCTGTGCTGCTCTTTGATGAGAGATACACATCCAAAGAGGCTGCAGCAAGAGCACACAGCAAGGATCCTAATCGAAATTTGCAAGGGCAACTTGATGCCGTTGCTGCTTGCATAATCCTGGAAAGCTACTACAACGACAATGGCCATGGTGCCGAACTTGTAGAAGTGGACCCCACACTCTATGAAGAGTGCGTAAATGTCTGGGAGGAAAAGCGGATACACGAAGAGAAAAGGTTGCAAGAAGAGATGAGAGATCGAGATGCCAGAAGGGCTTGGAGAAAGGAAGCGATGGAAAGAGATAGAACGATGGAGGAGACAGCTTCTACGAATACGAATACCAAGAAAAAGAAGAAAAAGAGAAAGGTAAGCTGCTGACTACTTCTACATCTCCCTTTGTAAGTGAAGTCATTTTGAATGGGATAGGTATCACATCTCACATAATCCTTCCCTGATAGAAAAAGTAGGTTAGAAAATTACCTTAGTAATCTTTTGGAGCCATCCGTCTGAGATTTTTTCCTATACAACGGTAGTGACAGAAAGGCATAGAGCATACTTAAAAATATTTTATTACACTACTACGGTACTTTCTAAAATTGTACCGTCGTAATCGGACATTTTGTCGGACCACGACGGACAGACAGCACGAAATGCCGATCGTTTGCATTGTTTTTCACCTCTTTTACCACACTACTTGCAAACAGTCCAGTTGCTTGTTGGTTGCTGCTTGTAGATTTGTCATCCTATTTTTCATCAGGTGCACAAAATGAACGATGCAACCAAAGGAAGAGATAAAACACCAATCGCCTCACCAAAACCCTCTCCGACTTGCAGTTTGACGTCGTACAGTGGCACATCAATCGACGATGAATTGCCATACAATGTGGGATCGGAAGAACAGCTGGCGCTGCTTCCGCCAGAGTGTCTCAGTGGCAACAAGTTAAGGCCGTTACGCCATGTTAGTGAAGACGGACAAGTTAGCACATATACCCTCCAACCAATGTTTTATTCTGTAATTTTCATCCTTCTCGTGGAACTGCTGGAACGTTTTTCCTTCTACGGCGTGAACTACACACAAACATCATTTCTCACTGGTGTATACAACGATTCATGGAACGCGGGAATGCAATCAATCGCTGCGTCTTCATATGTTTCGGTCTCTACTGCCGTTGGTGAGTTTTCAAATTGTGTTCCTCTCATCTATCCTTGGATTTGGTCTAACACCCTTGCATTCGAAATCAGCGTATACAATGCCTTTTGCTGGCGCATTTCTCGCCGACTCTGTACTTGGCGACTATTGGACAATCCTGTTTGGTGCTTTCTTATTTTATATTCCCGGGCTTGTATTGATTTTTCTTTCCTCAATTCCGCATTTTCTTGGTGAAACCTTCAACACAACTGCTCTCGCCGTTGGTTTGCTTGTGTTGTGGCCAACGGGGACAGGAATTGTAAAGTCCGTTGTAAATGTTTTTGGGGCAAAACAGTTTCACCCCTTGCTGCAATCTTCGTTAATCGAAGCATACTATGTCAAGTTTTACATGTGCATCAATATCGGTGCCTTGCTTGGTGGTATCGTTGTTCCAGTTGTTGCACAGCATGATATCGCCCTCGCGTACTCTTATCCAGTTGGCATGCTCTGCATCGGGATGCTTCTTTTTGTCCTTGGAACAGAACGATACATAAAACAAAAGCCCATGGGAAACCTGTTTGGCAAGAAATCAATCACCGGACAAGGCGATACGTCCATCGGACTTGGCACAATCTTCAAAATTACAGGTCTTATCATTCCATTCAATATCGCATATTCGCAGATGGCCACAACATTTATCATCCAGGGTACAGTGATGGAAAAGGCTTTTGGATTTATTGATGCCGCCAGTATGAACAACGCGGATGCAATTAGTGTCCTATTGTTTGGATGGCTTGTTGCAAATTGTCTCTACCCAGGTCTCGCACGAAGAGACATACGGATACCCACGACCTATAAGTTCGCAATTGGGTCATCGCTAGGAGCGCTTGCGATTGCTTGGGCATTGTTCATGGAGTACAAAATTCGCGCAACGTATGAAGCAACGGGGCAGAAAGTTTGCATTCTATGGCAGTCCGTTTCATATTTCCTGATCGGTGCTGGGGAAATTTTCGCCGTTTCTGCTGCCTACGAAGTCGCATTTACAGCGTCGCCTCCCGAGAAGAAAGTTGTTGCTAGTGCACTCAACCTTTTCTGCGTAGGAGGAATTCCAAATGTACTCTGTATCTTTTTGTACCAAGCTGCGAAGGGATGGTTCAAAAATGGCAAGGGAACTGCTCACATTTCTAGGGTTGAGGATTACGTCACAGCTCGGATCCACCATTATTTCTTTGTCTTGTTAATTGTGTCTATCTTTGGTATTGTGATTAACTTGCTCCCTGCTACACGAGATTTCGTTGCATCCATTGAAGAGAAGGCAACTGAAATGGTTAAAACACCTACGATGAGACGATCACCGCGGTTCCGACGCAATCAATCCAGGGATTTTTCTGTCGATGATGAAGAGTCTCCACTTTTGCAAATGAAACGGCACCAAGCATACTTGAAATATGGAAGTGGACCGGTGTTGTACAAGCAAGGGTCGATGAGAGCTGGCCCATCGATGTCTAAGCAAGTGAATAATAAGCAGAAGCACTTGAAGAAGAGCGCTGTCGGAAAGCTTTACAATCCGAAGTCAAGGGCACCTACACTTATAATGGCTCCAGATGGAAAACCTCTAACTGCAGCGGCGATCAAACGACAAGATAGCATATGAAAACCTTTGCGAAATAGCAACAGCAGTGGTAAAGACTATCTCCCTACCATCCATTTGCAAGGATCACAAGTGGCAGATTAATTAAATCATCTAGACCTAAAGTTCTCCACATTGCACACTCAAATGCACTCATTCCTGTTGGTCCACCTTCCAGGATAATTCGATGCATGCAAGTTGCCATCGTCCATCTGTCAATTATTGCAGTCTAAACTCCGATGCTGAATGCATGTTATATGCAATTAACGTCTATTCTATATAATTTGCAACTACTGTATGATTCTGACTATTACAAGGATGCAGTAGTCGTTCCATCAAAGTGGAGGTAAGAGGGTGACTTCATGAGGAACCCAGGTTGATTCTCAAGCACGAATAGTTGATTCTCTTTTTCCATCTCTCTTATACGCTGAATATCATTTTCCAGGGTCTCTTGATCATGATGCACCAGGATTACGGAACCAATCCCAGTGAACAAATCAATTGTATAGTCAACCACTGATCCAGGCTTGACACCAGTTTCAAGGTAGACAAAGCTCTGAAGTGTCTTGATCTCTTCAAACCCCGGTGTAGCCTTCACCGTGCCACGAGAATAGGATACAAGGATGACTTCTTGGCCGTGGGCCTTGAATGGGCTCGGAGGCTTATCTGGGGTACGTGCGAATTCTTGCTTCTCCAGGTAAGCATCAACAGTGGTTTCAACTTGCGAATAGCCGCCTGTTAGAGCTCGGCACAAGGACCTCCAGTTTCCATCTCCCCCATGTGCCCGACAATTCATTTCAACCAAGCAAGGACTGAATTTGTATAGGTTAGTCAGAGACTGAGAAGAAGCCCAAAATTGACAACAAATTGCTTACCCTTCGGGAGTCATCATCACTTCACAATGTGTCGGCCCATCAGTGATCTCCATAGCATCTAGAACCCCCCGGACATACGGAATCAAGATCTTTGCTTCGCTCGAATCCGAATCGACTGGGATGCAGCCAAAGTATACAAATGCAGAGCCGTGCATCGGACGTTTGTCGTAAACCCAAATCATCACCGCCTTGTGTACGCCGTCTCTAGAGACGTGATCCACGACATATTCCTTACCACGAAGGAATTCTTGGCAAAGAACAGCGGGACAGTCACCTCCATTCACCATTTGGCTCTTCATCAGTACATGGAAATGCTCTTTTGCTTCTTCGAGAGAATGGCAAAGCTTAACACCATCCGAACCAGCTTTGGGAGGAAAAAGAAAAAGTTTGGTAAGAGAAAGACCGCAAAGGAATTCAACATGACCAAATATACATACCAGATTCGACTGGTTTCAAGACAAGTGGATAACGTTCAGTGGTTAGGAAAGGTTCCACCTCCTCAAATTTCACACCAGCAGCCTGTCGAACAGATCTCAAACCATACTTGCGGATCAATTCTTGTTGAAGCTTTTTGTCTCTTCTGTTGGGGATAGATGTTCCATTGGTACGCACACCAAGCTTCTCAGAAAGAGCATCCGCAAGATCAACCCCTGCCTCCCCTCCAGCAAGGCAAGCAACGACACGCTTCTGATCGGCGGCTTGGTGGACTATCTGGACTGTATCGTCAAGAGTCTCGGCTTCGTCGATCTCGTTGTAGTACTTCATGACTCCACAGCTCAAAGGAACGTGCGTTTTCATCTCTGGTGCAAAGTTTTTAGTCCACAAGGCCATCACACTAAAACCTCGCTTCATAATCTCCTGGGCGACACAGCATCCAGTGGAATATGGGTCCACAATGATGACAACTTCCTTGGAGGAATCAACGGTGGTCATTCGCTTGACAAGTGGACCACGCAATTCAGGTCGATCATTGGACATGTGACGAATCAAAAGAGGACCGTCTGAGGAGAATACGCGCCTGTGGTTTCTGGGTTTGCCTTGTTGCCCGGTTGAATTGGTGATTTGATCCATAGCCAAAAGGTCTCCACGAGGACGCTGCAAGTTCTCCGCCTTCGTCTCGAACAAAAAGAGACCGTTGATCTTTTCCAGGTATCGAATGAACTCGATGTCCTTTTGAATCACGGCTTCGTCCTTGTGCATGAGGATGACACTTCCAATTCCAGTAAGCAAATCAACGGTGTAGTCAACTTCCGAGCCCTCCTTGATACCCGATTCGAAGCAGACAAAGGAAGGGAGTTGTCGGATGACGTCAAATCCGGGAGTGGACTTGACCTTTCCTGCAGAATACGAGACGAGAATGACCTCTTGTCCAAATGCCTTGTAGGGGCTGGGTGGAAGACTTGGAGTTTTGGCAAAGGAGAACGGATCCAAGTATGCGTCAACTGTTCCTTCAACTTGAGAAAAGCCTCCAGTCAGAGCACGACAAAGTGATCTCCAGTTTCCGTCGCCACCATGTGCACGACAATTCATCTCGACGAGACATGGGCTGCAGGAAAAATGAATGGTTGAGTGAATAAAGGAGTAATAAATGTTGTAGCCAAAAAACAAAAACGAACTTACCCATCTTCTGTCATCATGACTTCACCGTGGCTGGGACCATTCTTCAAACCCATGGAATCTAGTGTACGACGAGTGTAGTTGACCAAAATTTTGGCTTCAGGACTGTCAATTGGAATGGGAAGCATGCCAAAGTAAACAAAAGCGGATCCGTTGGCGGGGCGCTTGTCATACACCCAAACCATGCAGGTTTTGTGTTCTCCATTCAACGAGACATGGTCTATGACGTATTCCTTGCCTTTGAGAAATTCTTGGCACAGAACGGAAGGACAAGCCCCTCCGTTGACCATTTGGCTCTTCATGAGAACATCAAAATGTTCCTTGGCTTCTTCGATACTGTAGCAAAGCTTGACGCCGTCAGATCCGGCGGATTCCACTGGCTTGAGTACCACTGGGTATGGTTCTGTCTTTAGGAAAGATTCTACCTCGGCAAACGAAGATCCACCGGCTTGGCGAACGGAACGCAAACCGGCCTTTTTAATGAGCTCTTGCTGCAATTTCTTATCACGACGGTTAGGGATGTCTGTTCCATTTGTCAACAAACCAAGGTATTCGGAAAAGGCGTCGGCAAAATCGACGCCTGCTTCACCTCCGGCCAAACAGGCCTCGACAGGATGAGTGCCAACCGCTGCCTTCAGAACTTTGTCTGTCTCTTCCAACGTTTCCTGCTGGTTAACTTGGGCAAAGTAGTCCATGTGTCCGCAAGATTCTGGGATGTGGGTCTTCATTTCGTCGGAAAAGCCAATGGTCCAAAGAGCAACCAACAGATAACCTCGCTTGGCCATTTCTTGAGCGACAATACATCCCGTCGAATAAGGGTCGACAAGAACAACGCACTTGCGTTCTTTCATGTAGGGCGATTCCTCTTCCATTATTTGAGGAGCAGCCATTGTTGAAAGGTATTATAAAAAGAGTGGGATGGATGGATAGGATACCTTACAACGAATTTAATGGTGGTCAAAATTGATGCCTGCAGAATGATCCGATCGACACGAACGCATTTTGAAAATGCACCGATCGGATCTGTTCTTCGCACTTTCGCAATAAGAATTCTAGGTGTACATACTGTCTAGTAGTTAACAATGTTAGATAGATTTCCTGGAAGTGCGCAACTCCGTCGGCACTTTTTGGTATGAAATTTCAGTGGAAAAACGGAACGGGACTGGTTCACTCATGATTCAATAATGGTCAACGAAGATGCCATGGTGCCTATTTGCAGTCACAATGAATGAATCCCAAACAAATACTTAGCACATCAGTGCGATTTGGTGTTTTTTTTTCAGCTTTGTGACTTTGCATTTGATGAAAGAGGATCATCATTCCATTTTAAAAAGTTGAAAATGCATCTGGAGAGGAAGACTTTCGTAGCTCTTTTATCCGGTCTGTCATCGCTTCCCGAAACGGCAAACACACCCTTCAGATCCAAAAAACGGAAGATTCACTTCTTCCTCACTCACTCCATCTTCCAATATCTCATTTTGGGTACGAGTATCGAGTTCTCAACTGAAACTTTCTTTCACTACACTCCCTACAAACCACTAGCATCATGAGCGGTGGAAACAGCGCCACCAACAAATGTGGGCTTGCGGAGCTCCTGATTTTCATGGCCGCAATCATTTGTGGAACAGGATGTTCCATCTGCTCCAAAACCATGATGGAACTTCGTGGCGAAGGAATTACTGGTGAAGAGGAAGTATTCCAAAAGCCAATCTTTCAAACGTTCGGAATGTTTGTCGGTATGATGTTTGGTCTGGTGATGCACAAAGTGGTTGTCATCTTCAAGATTCCTTTTCCAGGTTATGATCACGGCACTGACAATTCTGCCGACGGAGCAGGGGGCTTGGCATCGGGTGCCAAAACCTATGGATCCATTGATGCAGAAGCCGACCCTCTTGTCAAGAAGGAAGAGCAAGCATCTTCGGGCTCACAACAGCTTCCAGTTTGGATGTACTTTTTCTTGGCAATTCCTTCCGTTTTTGATTTGGCAGCGACAGCACTTTGTATGATGGGACTGCAATACATCGATGTTAGTATCTACCAACTGTTAAGAGGATCTGGTATCATCTTTGTGGCACTAATGAAGCAACACGTTTTGGGGCATCACTTGTTCAGCTTTCAATGGATTGGAGTCTTTTGGAACGTCATGGCCGTCCTCGTGGTTGGTGGTACTGCCATTCTCAACGAATCGGAAAGCGACGAAGCAGACCAATCTGGAGACGCCTTGTTGGGTGTCATGTTGGTCATGGCAGGCGCTGTTGTCCAGGCGATGCAATTTGTCTTTGAAGAGAAGGTCATGACCATGGACATCCCAAGTCCACCTCTTTTGCTTATTGGCATGGAAGGATTGTGGGGAACCGTTCTTTGTCTCTTGATTGTGTACCCTATTGTCTATTATCTTCCAGGAGACGATCATGGATCCTACGAAGATCCATGGAATACTATTCACATGTTTATGAATACACCGACGATTCAGAACGCGTTCATTGTGTACTTTCTCGTGATCTTCCTTTACAACTTCTTTGCTGTTTTGGTGACATTCATGCTCAACTCAGTTTGGCATGCCATTTTGGACAACTTTCGTCCTATCACCGTTTGGATTGTCGATCTTTTCATCTTCTACGTCATTTCACAAGGGACGTTTGGAGAGGCATGGACGAGATGGAGTTGGCTGCAAGTTTTTGGAATGGGAATCCTTCTCTATGGAACTGCCGTTTACAATGCTCCAAACGCTGGATCGATTCGATTAGAAGGACGTTGGTTTGATTTTGGACTCGACTTTCGAAGTGAGTACACCGAGATCGAGTCCGAAGAACAAGGTGCGGAGCTGGACCAGGAATGGCGCGAAAAGATGGATACTTTCAAGGCACGCAAAGATTCGTCGTTTTATGGAGAGCGATCTCCTCACGTCTCTGTGCACACACAATCATTGCGTGGACTGGCAACTAACATCTAGTGTCTCTGTCATTAATGTCGAGCTTATAATGACTAGGCTGGCGTCTTTTGGAGTCGATCCCTGTAAACGACAATGAAAATAGTGATAAAGCCAGTGTATGGTCACTAAACCCCAGTTGCTATTGCTATCATTCCTTTCCGGCGGTTCCTATCCTACATGATCACTTCCACTCTTGGATTATTTTATTCGTTGAGACTACTGTACGTACTGTACCTATGAAAAACGACAACTCCGATACGCGATTCTCCATTTCCCCGTTTTGAAGTATTGATTTTCCGTTCGATTTCAATTAGTATGATCTGAAATAATGGCGAGTGGCCAGCGTGCCACGCCGGTTGTGTGATAATAATTCGAACAATGAGCACGACAAAAATTCAACGAAGTGAAATTTCTGAATACTCCACCCCTCTGGCTCTTCTCATTCGGGAAGTCGACATGAAAGGGTCGTAAGTGCTCCAAATGCGTATTTCGTTTGATACATGACCATGAGATCTGTCCCTAACCGTGCGTTGCGCAAAAAATTGGCATACAAACTTGATCATGAAAGGAAGCGAAAAGGCCGAGTTCCTCTGTTACAAGAAGAGGAGCAATCCGCCAATAGCAGCAATGCAGACGAAGTTGACCAATCGTCGTCAGAATCATCATCGAAGTCAGAATTATCATCCAATCGAATTGAATCCTTTGATGCAATAGAGCGAAAGAACAGCACTTCATCTTGGAGAATGGGGATGAAATGGAACAATACACTCGGCACTAGAAACGAGGACCGATATCATGGGGGTTTGATGAAGTCTTCGGAGCCAACATCAGACGAAACAGGACAGGGAAGAGGGAAAAAATCCAGTCGTCTGAATAAATTGGCAAGGAAATATCGGGGTTTGGAGTCGGAATATTTATCAGATGCTGAAACCGTTAGCAACTTTTCTTCGTCCGAGTGGACTCCAGCAGATTCTGGGTATGGAGCTGCATGCCCTGTGTGTGGTTGTATTCCAAAGCATGTTAGAAGAATGATTGAGTTTTCATTGATAGCTGGGATGTTTTTTGCGTTTGTGTACATATTGGTGAAGACATCCGTGGACATTGCTGACGAACGAAAGAACTCTTACAAGAATTCATCATACATCGACGTGCAACTCGACGATGACCTATATGGAGGATACGGAAGGCAGGGGGACGATGACCTCTATAATGTAACGGGTAATGTAACGGATACTGATGTCGGAGATGACGGGTACGGAGAGAGATTTTTGTTGAGAAGACGATAACATCAATGAATGGTACTCCTGTTTCTTTGATCACAAATTACCAAAGGTCTCGCAATCCCATATCTCTACCGCTACTTTTTTCTTGATACGAACCAATTGTCTCATGGTAAAGCGCCATAGTTTATTATCAGTTCTATGAGATGACGATACGAAGAATCAATCCAAATTATCGATTTACGACGAATGCTGTGGTGTTGGTTATAGAGGGAGACATCTACCCTATAGAGTACGACCGGAATAAATAGTGGGCAGTCGTACTGCAGATTATTTTAGAGCTACTGCATTACACAATATTATGATGGTTGGTTAAAAACTCAGTACTGTAATGTA